CCACTTTTCCTGGACACACGCTAATCATGGGAGTTCACAGATGTGCTGAGATGTAGGCCGGCTGCCAGGGCTGCAGGGAAGTACGATGGGGTAGGACTAAGGGAATCTGAACAGAGTATGATATCGATAGAGTACTACATTCAGTCCTCGGTGAAAAGAACTCCAACCGTAGACTCGGAATTTCTGTATCAGTGGTTCATTATAGGCCTGTTCCCCTGGGAGAAGCAATCGGTAACCACCTGGACCGCGGAGTGAGAACGAAGGGGTGAAAGAGTTGACCTTGCCGAGATGGTGGAATACTTGCGCATCAAAGGAAAAGACGTCAATTTCCCCGGCCTAGCCAGAAAAGAAGGAGGCGAATTTGGAAATGATCCGGGCACCGAGCCCACGAGCATTGGGGCTGAGAGTGCCAACCGTGCTCACAAGAGACAAAAAGCGGCAACTTGACTGCACCATGGGCATTCGCCACTCAGGAAGCCGGGGGCTAACTACAAAGCGGCGCATCTGTGTATCTTGCCCTAAGCAAGACCTCATTAGTGTATATTGCCGATGTCTGAAAAGAGCTAAGGATCTGGATAAGGTAGACTTCGAGCAGCGCCGCCAGGCCACCAAACAAATCGGTCAGAGAAATGCCGTGGTCCCCCGCAAAGTACAGGGTAGTAATGGGGCCTACAGAGGTGACAGCCGCACTGGCAAATCCGTCCCAAAGTAGCTCTATTCACACTCATGTTTGTAGCGACGCTCAGCAGTTTCTAGTGCTACTTGGTCAAGGCTGCAAAGCGCATCGGATATCTGCAACTACGGCGAGGAGACGCAACCTACCTAACTACTCGTTGGAGTAGTATCTGCGACTACGATTTGTGGACGGCGGACGGGGAGAGCCGTTCGGTTGTTTCGAGTGAAAAATACCAAGTTAGTTCAGACATAGGCAATGTTTCCATGATACGGGACTTACATTGGACCATCACCATGGAATAATCAAAAGCATGGCGTAGGTAACCGAGAGGACGGAGCATATGCACGAGCCAGGCGGCAGTGCAGAGGTCTATGTGCCGGGAAACACGGAAAGTGTCTACCGCTGAGTGCTTCTAATAGCATTTACAACCTGTATTGTAAGGGGAACGGAAACAGTGTCCCAAGAAGGAAGGTGAGAGGAGCTTCTTACGGAGTGCGGAGGCACTGCGAAAAACAAGAGAAATGCATGCACTCCATCGTGATCGCCCTACGGAATTCCGCTGCTATGAGGATTCGATCCAGCTGAGATCAGGAAAACAGTAGGACTGAGCGCAAACAAAGGAGCAGTTCTCAGATGTACTAATTAACTAAGGGCTACCTGTGGTTCATCCACCCGTTGGTAACCTAGCGCACTGCGTCGAACTCATTCCCGCAGCCGCCCCAAGCTTTGTTCCAAGGCGCACGACATCCAAGCATCTTGAAAAGCAAATCGAGCAGGAAGCCGATGAACTCATAAGAAAAAGGCCAAGTCAACCGTCAGCTAGCGTATTTGGATACGATCCAGTGCTAGGGGAGAAAAAAGACGGGAGATGGAGCACGTGTGCCGAATTTAAGAACCCCCCAAAATCATGGTCAAACAATTCTTTCCCGTGCCCCGCATTGGCGATATACTTGGCCTGGTGCAGGTTTCTGCCTTCTATTTGCCATTTGACCTCGCCGAATCGTTTTCACAGATCGAGATACATCCCCATACCAAGATTAAGACTGCACTCAATAATAGAACTCGCAAAGTAGCGCACACGTCTACGCCATTCAGACGTACATGCCTAAGTCCATTCGTACGCTTTTCACAATTTCTTGAGGCAAATCAATGGGGGACGGCTTGTTTGATACACGAATGACGTGCTTGTGTTCAGCTGGAATATGCAGGAACACTTGCAGAAACTGCGGCGTGCTCTGCAACTGCTACGCGGGGATGGTGCTTGGGAAACGCACGAAAGTGTTTCTTCATGCATACAGTCAACTTTGTCTTTAGATTATGTATCTCTGGAAGACTTGGAGAGCCAGATCCGGCAAGGGAGTGCCCATTCGGACGTGCATGTTTTCTCTGTACACTCGCACGGATGACCAGAAGTTTGTCGGTCTTGCATTGCACTCCTCTAGCGGAACTAGCCTGAGAGCAGAGAGCAAAGTTGCAGCCCCCAGAACCCTCATAAGACACCTGAGATCGTCTCTAGCACTCGCGCTCCGTGATTTCGACAAACCCATATTCGTATCAACCGATGTTAGTGGCGCCGCAGTTGGGGATATGCCCTCTCAGATGGCCATAGACTGGAAAGATCGGTAAGTGGAATGAGGTCTACGCGGTCTGTTGGGGAACAGAAATGTCTCTGCGTCGTTTACATGGCCGGCGCCCCACCTCTCAAAGCGATTATCAATCCCTGGCACACCTGAGAAAGACTCTCCGAGACGACAGTAGGTAAATAGTTGTTCGGTAAATTTCCCTGTTAGCGCAATAAGACTTAACCGTCAAGTACGTCAAGTCGATAACTGAGTTTGCCGCTGATGCATTCTCCCGACGTCGTACCAATTAGGCACTCTGTTCTGCATTTGCGCTTGTCTGCGATGATCGCCGTACTCTTTCTAAATTGTGTCCTTAGTCCGTAGATGCTCATTCGGCTGCAGTTCTTGCCAAGCTCAACAAAGGATGGCAGGTAAAGCGCTACAACAGTGGATTCACCATCTATCGCAGGCTTCGATAGCATCTACTTCGTCGTAGATACACTCCCCTAGTCTGCCGATTTCATCCCCTGTTCAAGTTCGGTTACAGCAAACGGAGTGGCCCAAGTTTTCACTTATCAAGCCTGGCAGCTCACTCTTGATCGACGGGCACCACTACCGACAGGAACCGACAGTTCTATAGCGTCTTTTCGCACGACTATGTAAAGCTTCTTATTATTGAACAAAACATGACCAAGGCGAAACAGCCTGGGGCGGAAAGTCAAGCTGGACGTACTAACCACACGCTGGTGCAGTATCTGCGAATCTATTCCCCACAAGAATAATGAAAGCAGCTTGACTGCACTTCTTATACGGAATGGGTCTTTAGGTGAACAGTTCACTCGTCGATTCGTTGCTTTCCGGCATTTTTGCTCTGAGCGCCGGAAGGCCAGCAGCGGCAGCAAAGGCAGAAGCAGCAGCAGCTGCTGAAGTTGCAGCACATGCAGCAGCTGCAGAAGCTGCAGGAGTACCGTTGAAATCTTTTGTTAATGGCTTCATTTCACTTGATGCTTTCCGTAGGGCCCAGGAGGAGCAACATCCTGAAAAGTTCCATAGATACTGTGCAGTATGGATGGACCCTGCTGAGATGCATACCGAAAGCAGACGATGTGGTACTTCCATGATTTAGCGTAGTTTGACGTTTATTGGGACAGATGATGCTTCAGTGTCTGCGATCCACTCCAGTGCTAACCCTGCTGCCTGAATGCGAGCAATCGTCTTCTCGAGTCGCTGCTGAGCATATGCACGCCGACCACCAGCCCACTGACTGGTCGTTATGAAGCAAAAGAATTGCGTTTTAAGCGTGCTAGAGCCTTATCTTTTAGTGATAGCACATCATGCTTTCTCCTCTAGACACCACGGGATGCCGGCTACCACGGAAATGGCTACTACAGTTCACAATTTTTTAAACCAGCGCCATGTAGAGGACACTTCCTTATCCATTTGTTTTTGCACTTTTAGAGAATGGAGGATTTGCTTGGGCTGGGATTCACTGCCCGAGTTGCCGCCCACGAGAACTCATGTTTGCTTAGAGGCCTGCTTGTGCCGAGCTCGTGAACCATCTCTGCATCATCGCGATTTCAGCCGCCAGAGTCTTCATGAGGGGGCTGCAAGAGGACGTTTACATCCCTATGATTGAGCAGTTTTGGTTCTGTATCGGGTCCCAATGGGCGCCTCCCCTTGCACACAGAGTGACAGTCGCTTCAAAGCAAAGCAGTGGCAAGCAGTGCGCATAGGGGTCTAGTGCTGGAGGTTCTTTCACCGTTCAGAAAGACAAGCACAAGCCCCTAAGATGCAGCATCACCCGCAAACCTAAAGAAGAGCTAGGGCGAGGGTCGTTGTGTGGGGAAACAACTTGCGAATTTGGTGAAGACGCGCTCGGGGTTCGTTTCACTCCCGCTTGAGTACGCGGCGAAGAAGTGTCACTAGCGCGCGGTGGCAGAGAACGTAGAAGCAGAAAAGAAAAAAGCAGAGAAGATGAAGAGGGGGAGGCGGAGAAGATGTACACAGGCAGGGGAAAAGACAAGGCAAGCCAAAAGGGCCACAAGTGAATGGGACCAGCTAAACAAAATCCTTTGAGTCATTGTAAGATATTGCTTAAGAATGGTCTCGAAGTGTTCACAGGCATGGGAGAGAAAAAATGCAATTTCTACTAACATGCATACGAAAACCACTACCTATTTATTTACGAAGACAGTGCCAACAGCATAAAGGCTGCAGAGTTGCTGTGTTTCCAAACAGCAACTCTGCAGCCTTTATGCGGTTGAGGGTACAATGCCTTTTAAGGAGTACGATGGAGAGCCAGAAGGCCATTAATTACATCACCTGGGAGTCTTCACGGACAGTGGCAAATTCCCCCTTTCTTGAGAAGCCAAGGAAAAACCGATATGATGCGCTGTGTGTGACAGAATTGCTTGGTGAGTACGCAGTGCAGGAGCTAAGGGAATTCGGTTATCATAAGCTGAGCTGCTCTACGAAGACTGATGAGGCGGGGGAGGAGAAGAAGCTTGGGGAACGGAAAGCAATGCTTGAGCCCATTTTTAAGCCGGTCAAAGGAATGCTGCGTTACAAAGTAGGCACTTGTCCTCCCAAGCAGGCTGGACAGGTGAACAGAAACGCAGACTCCCCTTGATTTTGTGTCACTGTGCTTAGCTGGGTTGGTCTGCTAGTATGGAGAGCATCGTGAAGGTCAAACCGCTGCGTTACAACAGCATGAAGATCTACCTGGTGAGTAAGACGAGAATAAAGTTGAGCGGGGAGCACAGCGTCATACTGAATACCAAGAACACAGCAACAGTAGACCAGTACGACAAAATCATTTGAAAAAAAAGGACGCCGCCAACGGCGAGGAAGACGACGAAGCTGGAGGAGTTGGATAAGCAGGAGAAAAAGCATATAAAGAAAGAATGCAACAACAGTTAAACGCAACCAAGCACACAGTTAGAGGGAGGCAGAGATAATATGCTCTCTCCGGTGTTGGTACGTGAAAATTTGCGTGGCCTTAGTAGTCAGCCTGCACACGCGCAGATATACAACAGTTGTCTATGGTGTTAGCCAAGGCAGCAAAGGCGTCTGATCGTGCTTCCATTTATGCAGCAGTCGTTGCAACGAGGCGTGTTCCATAATGTCAGGCCGGCTCCTCTCCCTAGCTTCAGTCCCTTGGGCTCTTGCGCCCAGAACGCCTGGCGACTAACAGGGAGGCAAAATGCTCTCTAGTACATTCTACAGTTTTTCTTTTGGCTATTTTGCAATTCACGACGGCCCTCGCACACGGTAGCAGACTCCTCCACATTCTCCTCGTCGCAACAGCCCCGGGACGTGTCGCTGTGCATAGGAGGCCTGGAGACTAGAGGGAAGGTTATCTGCTTTTCTGTAGTTCTCATCTACAGTGTTCTTAGTAGACTGAACCCCACAACAATCCTACGCTGCGGTCGAGAACTCTGGTTGCAGTAGCCCGACTCGTAAAATCGCAGTACCAAACGGCTACTCGCCTCAGCATCTCTCTATAGGACCCACTGTTTCAACAGTTCCGAAGCCTCTTCCTTGTTGACTTAAGCCATCTATTTCTGTTTATGACCCTTGCTTAGCAATCACCCTACCGTGCAACCTGGGCGTAACGTGCTGCTATGCACCATTCAGAGGAGAGTACGGGCTTTATTCTTGGCTTAGCTCACACATTATGCACAAGAAAAGGAGGCGTTCTACATTCCTACGGTTCCATTCGTTCGACCTCGGCTGTGTATCGGTTCTAGGTGCCAGCATTCAAGCTGTGGTGTGGAACTTTCCAGCAGCCCCGGCAGCTCACACACCTTGGACTACCGAAGCAAAGAACTCATTTGCTAGTATTATGTTACCTCTTCTGCGTTCTCTATCATATCTACCAAGATCAACAAATTCCAGAACTGTTGAGGCACTGCACTTTAGTAGCAACGACTCTGTAAATGTGCTCGAGTGGCAACATGTACACGCAGCCCCACATGGCCTCTGCTCGACGCATTGACCAGAAGGCCTGGAGATGCCTATCTTCTGTAGGGATTCTCCATACTATTTGCATGGTTTAGGAGGGTCTAGATGCTTGCTTTTGTTTGTCGGACTATCCGTTCTCCTGGTAGTTTGTTCCCCGTGGGTGTCTGCGGGCCGGTGCCCTTCTCTTGGCAGCGCTCCCCGTACGGCGGAGGTCGCAAAAAGGAAGGCGATTCCATTCTCCGTTTAACCCATAGACCCGTTTTAGACACTTGCCTGCGGTGCTGTATTTTCCGTTTCCTTCCCTTCCGTGGTGCACTTCCAGGCCCTCCCGGAGTCTTGTGTACAGCAGCAATGAGCACTATCTCAGCCAACGGAACCCCTCCTGAGGGGGATGAAAGGAGACTCTCAGCAAAGTGGGACATAAGACGTTTCAAAAGTTTAGGATTGCTAGTGTAGTACGGGAAGAAGTGGGAGAGATATGCACGGTTGCCGGTCAAAGACGAGAATGTGTCGCGGTGATGTTCATTGTGTGCACTGCCCTGTTTTGCAGCGAACGCCGGCGCCTACGAAAGGCACAACAGATGGAGGAGAAGAAGCAGCAGAAGGGTCAGACCCGTGAGAATGCTGGGGAGAAATCCACTGTCCAGCCGAAGGAGCACGAAGAAGTTGACCCGCGTGTCTTCTATGAAAACCGTTGCAAATTCGTTGAAGGGCTACGAAAGCAGAATATTGCTTATCCGCACAAATTCAACGTATGCGTTTTGCCTTCTTCGTGCCGATGGATTCAGTTGCAGGGGGTTGTGCGCGATGACTAACGGGCACGGCTCCCCACATCCTCAATTCTGTTGGACTGGTTTCTGCTAACTGGATTGTGCTTTAGGTCACTATGACCATTGAAGAATTTCAGAAGAAATACGGGGATTTGGCCGATGGAGAGCATCTCCCCGAGGAGGAAGTGTGCTTGGCAGGTTCGCCTCTTCAACCATTTGCTGAATGGCTCGCATTTTTCAACTTGATGAAGCTGTTGGATTTGTTTTTGGTTAAGTGCTGTCTCGAATGCCTCAGTGAGAAGTAAAGTGAAAGTGGATGTGATATTTTTCTCCAGGTCGGTTGACCCGCGTGGCTGCAAGCGGACAGAAACTGCGGTTCTATGACGTCCGTGGGGATGGCCATCGTCTGCAAGTGATGGCAAATCTGGCTGATCATGATCCTTCCACCGGCGACTTCCTTGAAGTTCACAATGCTTTCCGCAGGGGAGATATCGTTGGTAAGGGAGAACAATGTCTCTTTCCAAGTTGTCATGCTTGCTGGGAAGGGAAGGCCGTAATAGTGATGCTGTGAACGTTGCCACTTATTTCAGGCATCCGAGGGTACCCAGGAAAGTCCAAACGAGGCGAACTTTCCATTTTCCCGCATGAAATGAAGCTGCTTACACCGTGTCTGCATATGCTGCCCGAAAGAAACGGGCTAAAGGACCTGGATACACGCTATCGGCATCGATTTATCGATCTCATTGTCAACGATGAGCCGCGGCGGGTCTTCATGATCAGGTACCGCACACGATGTGGACACTGCCCCTTCTGAGAGGTGTGAGGTGGACATATTGCGAGTTCATGCGACCCGGGAACTGCGTTTTACGCTGAGTTTCGCAATCATTCACATGCGTGCCGAGTTCAGGTCGAAGATAACACGCTTTATTCGCGATTTCTTGGAAAATCGCGGCTTCGTGGAAGTTGAAACGCCAATGATGCACCCCATTTTTGGCGGTGCTAATGCGAAGCCGTTCGTAACACATCATAATGACTTGAACACAGATCTCTTCATGCGGATTGCCCCTGAGCTTTACCTCAAAATGCTTACCGTAGGTGGGATGGATAAAGTTTTCGAGATAGGAAAGAACTTCCGGAACGAAGGCATCGACATGACACACAACCCAGAGTTCACAGCGTGCGAGTTCTACTGGGCCTACGCGGACTACAATGATACGATGAAACTTACTGAGGAGATGCTCTCAGGTAAGGCAAGCGTTTTGCTCGCCATCATGCACGTTGCCTCTTGTGCAAGTCTTGCACTCTTCTACGTTGCTTGGGCGGGTTTCGGGACGCCTTCCGCTGAAGCGCTTCTGAATATGCGTGCTTCTAAATGCAAATTTCAGAAATGGTGATGTCCATCCACGGCACTTACAAAATTCCGTTTCATCCGGAGGGTCCGGGCGGACCTGTTGTAGAGCTTGACTTCACGCCACCTTATCGGCGCCTTTCCCTTGTCGAAGAAATTGAAAAACAGGCAAATGTAACTTTGCCAAGACCTCTGGATGGTGATGAGTGCTTGAGTTGTCTGAAGGGGTTGATGGAAAAGCACAATATTCAGCCCCCAAATCCGGTGACTCCCGCAAAAGCTTTGGATGCAGTTGGCGCGCATTTCGTGGAGAGCCAGTGCACCGTGAGGCCGACCTTCATCATTGAGCATCCGCAGGTCATGTCGCCGCTTGCCAAGTGGCACAGGTCGAAAGCTGAGCTGACTGAGAGGTTCGAGCTTTTTGTGATGGGCAAGGAACTATGCAATGCGTACACTGAACTTAACGACCCGAAGAAGCAGCGTGAATGCTTTATGGAGCAACTGAAGGTGAACAGCATCCCGAGTTATGTAGAATGCTGGGCAGCATGAGCAATTGCAAGACTGCAGGGTTTCATTCGCTGGCTTTCATTTGTTCATTTATGTGCATTATTAGGCGAAGGAGGCTGGAGATGATGAAGCGTGCCCAATCGACGAAAATTTCCTGATGGCCTTAGAATACGGCTTGCCGCCGACTTCTGGTTGGGGTATTGGAATTGATAGACTGACCATGTTCTTGTCCGACCAAATAACAATCAAAGAAGTTATTCTCTTCCCCTCTATGCGCCCCAAGGGTAGGGAGGAACCGAAAGACGAGAAGAGGGCCGCCTAGACCGGGCACCACTTTCCTACTGACAATTTCTTAGCGTTGGCCACTGCTTTTTGTGGACATCATAGGAGGATTGCTTCTCAGTACAGTCACGAGTCATGCGACGACAACATAGATAATAGGGCCGTTAATATTTCACTCTTGCTTAGCCATTAAGCCAAGCAAGGAGTTTAGTCGAACTGAGTTCCAAGGGAGCTTGGCCACTGCTCCAAAGATTCAGTGGGCAATGTTCTGGATACAAAAGTGTATGTAAAAGGCGGCATCTGTGTAGCCCTATAGATATTAAGGATGGTAGAGGCCTCAGCTGTATCATGAACGCATGTTACAGGACAAGTGTTCAGTGTTCCTCCAGCTACAGGCACTACAGCTACAGGCTGCATCATCTGGAGTACGAGGCGTTCACTCCTCCATAGTTGAGAACGGCAACCGTTTATGGCTTCCGACAAACTATAAAACTGTATGTATAAGCTATATACATATCCGCCCATTCAAACCCGAGTGTGGAGGTACACTTGAACTCAACATGGACATGTTTTGCTTGCTCAACACACTGACAGCACTCAGCAGAGACAAATTGCCGCAGTGCATACCGCGGGTTTCGTCACTGCCAGAAAATCAACAATATATATATATATATATATATATATATATTTCACTGCCGTCTACGAGCAGCAATCCACAGGAACACGGTTGCCACGCCGGCAACTGTTGCAACCGTGGCGGCGGCAAGTAAGGTGCTCATTCTACAAGCATCTGTGTTAGCACCAGAACGCCACGTAGCCAGGCGAAGCCGGAGAGCAGAAAGTGCAGATCTGTTGCTCGCAGTCGGGCTTTGCGTCTTCTGTAACGAGGCGTACATGTTGCAGTACTGAGCGAATGTATCCTTGTCGGTAAACGGGACAGGTGATCCTGGTGCATCTAGTTGTGCATTTTCCTTATCCTTCAATCTATGCAGGAGTGCGGGGACGTCAATAGGCTCCACATTTGTTGTATATTCAGTAAGGAAGGCTCTCGCTCTTTCTCTTGTCTCCTCACTGCTGACTACGGTGGCTGCATCTTCTCCCGTCTCTTCCGCCCCTGCTTTTCCCTTTGCCTTGCCCCTTCCTTTGTTCCCTTGCTTATCCCTGCGTTTCTTTAGAGACGCCTTCGGTGGCAATGGTAGCAGCAACTGCGCACCTGCTCGCTGCAAGTCTTGGTACTCAATGAGCAGCTGCTTCGGCTGATCAGCAAGCAAATCCGGCCGTCCCGCATGTAGACCCACAACGGTCAAGTTTTTAACCATGTACGAGTCCTCCAACTCGTAGCCGCTTGCGCGGTAATACTCCCTCGTGCCAATCCCGGCAATGACCGCCATGCGCATGTACCCTAGTTCGCAGCGTCAACCCAAGCAAAGAAGCAGACGCAATCGAATCCGAGGCGCGTCGTAGAAGAAAGTCGCAATTCGTGTATCGTTGAAAACAAGGCGGTGACATTCCTTTTCAAAAATAGCCAATCACTCACAGAGAGCTAGTCAAAGAACGCATTTGATCTGCAAGACTATCTAGCCAGCAGCTACTCCCTAACCCACACGACATGCGATGTTCGTACTATAGTAGACCCGTTTCTAGCACTACTACGCAACTGCCTATCTAGAAAAATGCAAACATGCATGTATGAGTGTCTACACACAACGACGTGTACATATTTTGACCCGTGAAGAAGGTCGTAAATCTACAGGAGCTTCGACTCCCCCTCATGCATTTAAGAACACTCGTCGAGGTGAGGCTCATACCATTTGCCATGGCAACAATTTCTGCGGCCTGTATCAAACGCCTGCCGAATCCCGCGTGTTGTGGTCGTAAGTCATCGCTGCTCTTCGCTTCTCCGTGGGGAACTAGACGTCCTGTACTCATACAGCAGGGCTCCGCACAAAAATCAGCAAGAGCAGTTGCATCCTGACGGCAACCCCTGCTGCAAAGGCAAACGAAGAAGCCGATGCAGTATGCCCCCTGGAGTGGACCAGCGCTCTTGCGCCAGATGTGTTCGGAGACAGACTACATAGGACGCACCGTAGACGTGCAGCTCTCGTAACAGCGCTGCCCCGTTCAACACGCTGAAGGGACAGTCCCGCGGAACCCTCCGTGCACGAAGTCTTAGCCGAAGAAACCCAAATATTGTTTTTCTATCGGGCGTTTCAAACGACAAAAAAAACTCCACTCCTCCGTTTGTTTCGTAACGGCGAACGCACAACTCCGCTACCCTAGAGACAAAAGGAAACATACAGGATCTCAGGGGTGCCGACTTTCACAAAACTGCATACGGAGTTCGGCCTGTTAATGCGCGCATTGTCCTTTAAGTATTGCACAACTCATATTCGGAAGCAAGCCCCAGTAAGGTCTCCACCGCACAGCAGCAGAAGCATAAAGTAGGAAGCGGGCAAACAGACGCGGCTAACCCCAAATCAAACTGCTCATCCTTTACTTCACGACAGCGGATGCACTTGCAGCGCAAGTGCCTGCCCTCCAGCTCCCTAGAAAGTTCCTGCCTGAAATGCACATGCATCATTAGCTAGCATGCTGCCCAAAATGATAATTTCGCGGCTATTCTATAGAAGAACGCCTCCCACACAAATAAATACTACTCAGCAAACGTGCAGTAGTGAGCACGCAAATATGCACCCGTGTACATGCAGATACAGACGCCTACATGGTGCGAGCGAAATCATCTGATTTGCAGTAAGGCCAACGGGCGCAAAATAAAAACGGAGCCTGCCACCTACCCAAAGGTCGGGAAACCCTCTTTCGTATGGCTACGCTGGCTAATGCGCGCGCTTCACATGTGAAGAATACATAGTTGCGAATGCCTCGACCCACCGGAGGTTTGTGACGTTGTTGCCGCCGATAATGGATTGATTTGGGATATCCCGCACCACTCTATTCAGTCGCACCCACGGATGTACCGCTGCCTTAACCGAACAAATAAGGGTCAACAAGGCTTCCCCATCAGTGTCTGCATAAGGAATGAATTTGCCCTCCTTATACCATTGCTGAAATAAATAGAAAAGCCACCCGCACAGCCCCCGTTCATCCGAAGAGCCACAAATGTCAGAACTCCCATTACATACTAAAACGACTGCTAGAGTTCAAGTGATATGGTTGTGCCAAGCATGCATTCAGGTAACCGTCTGCAATTGTACGCTTCGATAAGCGCATCTGGGTGACTGACAGGAACAACCGCAAGAGGCCGCATAGAGCCTCCAGGTAAACTCTGAGGCAGTGGTTTCTCACCTCTATCGTTGAAAAAGGCGTCACTTCACAGGGGTATATTTTCCACTGATCGGCTTGGAGATCGGGGGAGGAAAGGATGTAGTAGAACATCTGGCGGTCTGCAGCTGGACTGCTTGACGGAAGATCTGGCATGAGATGCACGTCAACCTGCGACACGTGCGCATCTACCAATCCCTATACGATTTCACACCAAATTAACCCACCTAAAAATCTAAAGAACGCCGCACGTGTGCATGCAGATGTAAGTCGTACACGAACGCACCTTAAACCCTGCATCCTTAAGCATCCGTATGGCCCTTATCGCGTCACGACGCGTGCACCCGCGGTTAATATACTGTAGCACATTGTCGTCGACGTGCTGCACGCCAATCTGCACTCTTGTACATCCGAAACGACGTAGTCGGCGCAATTCGTAACGCGTGATGAAATCAGGTCGTGTCTCCTGCACCCAGGCAACTATGCAATGAGAGATGGGGATTGTAAACCCCAGGCAGCGGCAAAGAATAAAACGACCCAGTGTTCAAAATTTCCCTGGGGAGCTACGGACGTTCGCCAGAATCAAGTAGTGTGAAAGTCTCACCAGAGTTAAACCCACTATGCGACAACCTGCAGTTTCATTGAGGTTTTGTTCCTCCTCTAAAGCGAGGCTGAATCAACGCACCCAAAAAGCAAACAAACACAAATCTCGCGGAGTCGCGCCAGCTCTCCCTCCCGCCCTCTGCCGTTTGCTTCAAGTAGGGTATGCCATACGCAAAAACCAGTTTTGGGATGCAATGCAAAAATGACACAGGCAAATTACCGAGCTCACGGTTCGCGGATTGGCTGAGGCAGTCCGAAGACGTTTGCAGCGTAGTACACGTCTCGGATAAATTCTTCTTGGTAGTCATGGGGATACCTGAAGTCGAAATTGAGCATTTCGCATTTCTTATTCTGCAGCACGAGACAAGTTGAATCCTCAGTGTGGAAACACATCAAAGCTCTAGCTAAAGAAAACTTACCCGCTCCATGTGCCCCCCAGCACGAGGACCTCTATCTTGTCGACGGCATGGCCATTCCGCTTTAGCGTGTTGGCCCTGTCATGGAACTGCTTCAGGGGGCTCCATCCGTTTTGGTTGGCTCGCAGGACAGCCGGTTCAGTTGAAAGGTATGAGCGCGGCTGTCCCGGTTCATTTGGACAGTAGTGGCAGTCTTGCGGACAGGAAAAACGGCCAGGAGCAGTCAAAACAGTTATAACAAGAACCCCACTATTTGTGCGCACTGCTTTCCGCCGCATCAAGCTTTCCAGCATCGGATTCCGCAGCCCTTCTGAGCAGCTTTGATTATCCAGTAACTCCGCACCAGATGGCTCCATCTGGGCGAAGTCGTGGTTCCTGTGTGAATTCGCCTCTGCAGCGAGTAATCGCTTGTACGCTGCCACAAGTTGTGACTTGGCGGGGGCAACTTTATACTTCTTCCTGAGTGACTTAGTTGCGGAGTTAAACTCCTTGTTCGTTGTGGGCCTAATATTCAGCAAGTCAGCGAGAAAAGCATTCGCCGTCTCCTCGCGCATCTCATTCCTTACGGCGGGGTCGTAAGCCTCCCATTCCAGCATGCTCTGTCTAAAAGACTCCAAGTGCTTTCGTCTGTGTGGGTCCTCCAGATCCTCCTTCACGAGTTGTTTGACTTCGCCACAGCGGGCTTTGTAATCTGGACAGGTGGCAGGGAACCACCTACGCAGGGTCTCATCCTCAACTGCATCATGTTCTGCAGATATAGGCTCGGAAGGACGAATCTCCGGTGTTGGACTACCACTTGACGAGCCTCCTGCACGGGCCGAGGCCGTAGCAGAAGCAGTTATTGTTGTTGAAGCATTCGCTACTATGCCATCCATTCTTTCGCGTGGGGTTGCGCTCTAATGAGGAGGGCAACTGGAGAGAAATGCCGTAGACAGTGGTCAAAGAATTATCTAAGATTTCATCTGTCTCCTTCGCCTCCTTCCACACCGTGTCGGAACGAAACGTTCAGCAGGATGGCGGCCGGTTGGAGGTACGACTGCGCCGATCAATCACCATTTGCACGAACTACTATCCGGCAGTACTTCGGATGAAAAAGCGAGTAGCACTACACGCTAATCCTGAAGCTCATCACCACTCGCTTCACTGCAAAGACGATGCCATCACATGGTACTGCCTGTCCGCTGCCACACCGGCGGGGTTTCCCCCTAGATTCGCTTCAGTGATTGAAATCCCATTGCATAAAAGATATATTCAAACAAGAGCAAAGCAATCCTTTCTAAACACTTTTGCTGCTTCACTCTCCACACGCAAGGCTGTGGGGCCGGACAATACCGAACCCTGCATGTAAAGCGCTCAGTTGGCATGCCGTTCAGGCAGGAATTGGAACCATTCATGAACATCCATTTAGTGTTTCAAGTGCTTAAATGATTTAAGCATATAAAATATTATCACAATTTTAAATAGAGTTACCTAAAAATATTCCAATATAATCGAACGAAAAACCTAGTTTTCGGGGAAAAAAGATGTTTTTCAAAATAAAATTATCTTCAAAAATTTCAAGCCTTTTTAATATACTAGGGGTATCTTCAATTAAATAAGAAACACGTAATAGAGTACGTATTATGCAGGCTTCGTCAGAGATTAAGTGGGATTTTGCAATACTATCAAATAGTGGTCCAAAGCGACCCGAGAGATTTGTAAATTTGCAGAATTAGTTTTTTTCCGGTAACTTTTAAATTAAACGAAACAAATTTAATTCGCGAAACAGTATTTTTAGGGGAATGAACCTTATGTATCTATGGAACCTGAGCCGTACACATTATTACACACTCAGTAACCGCTTCAAGCATTCAAATGGAGTTCAGATCTGAGACACGTGCCTGGTGGAATGCCGTGCTACGAAGCTGCAGGCTCCCTTCAGTAAGCACCACTCAATTCCTTTGGTGGACTCTTTAAAAGCAGGGCAACCCCAACATACCTATACAGAAGTATACAGAACCGCAACAAAGTAGAAGTCCAGCAAGGCCCTTCTCTGGATCGAATGTCCACACAATGCCTTTCATCGTACCCAGTTTCATTTTAATGTTTTTTCTATGCGAGATCGTATCAGCACCGACGCTGTCTCTGCCAAGGGGAGAGCCTTGATTCATCACTTGTATGTCTTCAAAGTGGTGTAGTAAGGAGAATCATTCTTAATTCTACGAAGTGGTGCACTAAGGAGTGAGTAGATGCAGCCGCTTCGCCGTGAGATAGGCGCAAGGAGAACAGTTACAATGCATGCTAAGAAGTTTACTACCTGCAGAGTTAAGCGCTGGGAAGTTCACGGGGCACTGCTGCCCACCGCGAGCAGTACTGCGGAAGTCGCAGAAGTAAGATGATATACTCAGTGGAGAAAATTCAGTTTCGCCTAGTTCACAGCATGAGACAAGGCTGCCGAGAGGGTGCGCAGAGCCGGCCAGTGCAGATGGAAATGCGACTTGCATCATGAATTAAGTAAAAGAATGCCTGTGCAAAAAAGTGCATAAACTATGAGCATAAAGTATGGGCTTAAGGCAATGATGCCATCGAATGGCTTGCGGGCCCGTTGCGCTCAGCTCCCGATGCACAGTACAGTAAAATCATAAGTGCCTTCAGCCTGTTGGACTCACTTGCACATACGCGAGTCAACTGCAACGCAAATAAGCAGAAGGCCTGCCAGGAGGCTGGCCTGCACCGACCGGAGCCGGGGCTAGTCCCAATCAACTCAGCAGAAGAACTGCTCGTGAACTTGCTGTCCTTCTTCCTCTACAAGCGTGGACAACTCCGAAATAACAGATCCTTAAAAGAAAACAACCCCACGTCTCAATGGCACCCGAGTGTGTTTAACCCCGTTGCTCCAGCGCCGGCTTAGCTCTCCTGTTTGGAGGCTGTACTCCATTGTTTCTCTGTGTCGTTTGTTCTGCTGTAAAAAAGGCAATATGCCTCTGCAGAAAAAACTTCTGCCTCCGAAACGGGCAGCACCAAGCCGTCGTCAAAGCGAAACCACTGCAGCAGAAAAGAAAGCGCAACCGGATTTGCTATGTTTTGATTGGGCCTAGGCTTCTCATCTGGCATGATGCAAAGAAGGAAGGCGATAAAACGCGCGTAAGCTTCGTGAAATAGAATGACACTCTTGCACGAACACTCAGGACAGCGCAGTGTGAAGCTGAGAATTTTGGGGCCTTAGGATGAGGAGCAAACTTATATATATGGTGACAGCAATGAAATATTTCTGCAGGAAGGAAAGGCGATAGGAAGAAGCTCGCTTGGCACAGCATCCCGCCGGTCACTGCAGGCTCAATTTTTTTCTAATGGCAGCACCTGACTGCCCGATAAGAGGGTAACCCTTACCTCCGTGCCATCGTCGGCCATCCCTTCAAATGACATTGCCTGTCGAGGCGGCCTGAACGGCGATTCATGAGGAGGCTCCCTTGGAGATGGGCCCGAAAGAGGTGCGGTCGAAGGGCCATTAGGATGCCGCAGAGAATGGGATGCAAAGCTCGAGAAGCCCTTTAAAATACCGATGCGCTTGAGGAATTCTGATGGAGAGCAAGCAGAGCTTCTAGGGGTCTCAGGTCGTCCTGAAGCTGCCTCCGCAGTTGAGGGGGGAAGTGCTACAGGAATCACAAATCTCCTTCGTCGAACGTACGCCACATAGTGGCCAGACTGACAACTGTTTCCATTGTGCTCTATCACCGCAATCAAACGGAATGTGGCAGCCTTGCTGCATGACACGAACAAACAAGCCCGACCTTCGCATAAGAGAAATTCTCAACACCAAAAACGCCAGATAACTACGAAGGAAAAGAAACAAACCTTCATTGATAGGCTACGAAAGGACTTCCTTAAGAGTGATTTCTCGCCTGGCACATGCTTACGCAGCTGCAAATTCGCGCTGAGAGGACTACTGTGTTTTTCTGCGGTTTTGCTTCATACCCCTTTGTTTTAATGACGAGCTCCTCAAGAGGATACTCAACGCGAGTGCGTCGCTTTTGTCCGGAGGCGGAAAACCGTTTTATTTGCAGTAACAGCACTTTCGGTGGGTGCGTGTATCTGATTGTCCTATGGGCCTTGCAAGCAGGGCTGTGGCAGCTGCTACAGCTGAACTCCAGCTCTTCGGAGCCAAAGAAACCCTCCAGTAAATTATTTAAAGATACTCTGTTTCCATCCATGGGAAGCGGTAAAGACAAATCCCACGCGGGTTCATATATAAACAAGGATTGGCGGCATCCCGCGCATTGAATTTCGCTGCAGAGCTGCAAACACGGCAAATTGCCAGTCCTCATAAGTTAGCACAATTTCAAAATGGAGCCAGTAAAATACTATCCAACACTGCCGTATGACTCAGAACGCTTTTTTGCGCAACTGAAACATGTTGGGTCCCACACGCTTTAGATTTACATCCAGAAACCGTACCTGTCCAGCGAAGAAATCTGCCATGGGGGAGGCTTGATCTCGTATGTATTCCCTCCACTTCTTTTCCGCACGTTCTGCATCACCCGCATCGCCTCCTACTGCTTCGCCAGGCTCACTGGCTTCGTTGTCCTCAGTCGGAATGCCAGCTGAACACAAATAAATGCGTCGTCGCTAGGCATCCTGCAAAATCCCGCTGGACTGAGCGCCTCTAGATGGCCCGGATCCCCTGTCTAAGCCTGGGCTGGCTTGTGAGCCAATCGGCTGTGGCTAAGCAACGCTTGGGAATCCTGCACGTGTAAGTGTCCCAAGAGCAGGACCAGCAGCAAAAGCAGGCAGTGATGTAGGGAAAACAGCAGTCGGAGCTGCTCACTTGGCTGCGCGTGAATCTGCTTCTTATGGTACTGCATTTGCTGATCATCATCGACAGCTAATGGGAGACGGAGAGAGCTGAAAGACGAAAGAGCCCAAGGCTCCAGATCTACAGGAGAAATGGCCTGCAGTTGCAGCAACTGTTCTGCCGCCGCTGCCTCCTCTCGCTCCTGTAGCATACCAACGAAGACAACTGAGTCGCGCTTGCTTCACCGTTAGCAAGTACGGAACTGACAGGGAAGATTGGCCATTGCTGCAAAAGCGGCTTCCACTGCGTTCGTGTCATGGCACCAAGTAACAGCAAAAACATCTCCAGCCGCATCCCACCCATCTGGAAGCTTTGAAAATTTCGTGGATAAGATCGATAAGGCCCCTTAAAAACTCGTGGCAGTCCTGTTGCTGCTGCATGTTACAGTCGTTTAAAAGAAGGCCCGCAAGCGGCGCAACAAGGGCTCTCCTCAGCCGTTCTGGCCGAATAGTATCGTATTGCAAGACAGGCGCATTATGCGGCTGCCTCTGCTCCTGTTGCTGCTGCTCTGGCTTGTATGTAGCAGCTGAGTTTGATTCCCTTGGCCTCTGAGCAGCTAAATCCTCTGGAGAGGTTTCGTCTGCGCTCCCATGCGGCCGAATGCTCGGGCAGCAACTGAACTCGCATTCACATCAGAAGCCGAACCCCAACAAAGTAGCCCCCATAGCAAAAAGCAAACCATGCTGAGACTTCCTAAAATCCCCATCATCAACCACCGGCGCACGTCAATCTGCAGAGCAGGGTGAAGAATTCCCTAAGAAGCAGCCGCCGTTGGTTCTCGTCAAGGGAGCCAAGGCACTCAGGCTGGTGTTTCTCCCTCCTCTCTTGCTGCAGGCGCAGGCGGCGCAAGAGCTCTTGGCGCCGTAATAGATACTGCTGCAACAGATCCTTTTGCTGCTGCGCTTGTTGATCTGATTGGTGCTGGAGTTGCTGCGCCTGTTGGCATCTTGCTTCTTCGCTGTCCCGTGATGCCGTGGTGCTGCTGCACGCAGCAGCTGCAGTGGCACTCGCTGCCCCCGTATTTCCGTCATGAAAAGCATAGTAGGCCTTGGGATTCTCCTTCCACTGCGCATCTCTAACAGCCGGCTCTGGCGGCAGGCCAGCCTGGAGTGACGCTACAAAGGAAGGAATGCCCGCTAAGGCTTGCAGAGCTGCATTGAGGAAGCAGGTGTTCTTTAGGTTGGCAAGACCTCGGGGGAAAAGTGAACCTTCATCTGCACGCCAAAGCAGCAACGAGGAATAACCGAAAACTTAAAACGTAGAGAAGTAAGCGTGCCGCGCCTAAAAGGTACATGAACAGCCTATATGCAGTCCCTGAGAACATAAAAGGAAGACCCTGTGCGACAAGAGGCAATGATACGAATGAGATGACCTTTCACGCGCTTCACCCTATCCATATTTCAAGCCCAACCGCATAGGAGTGAGACCTCAGAAGTTAACATATAAACTCAGTCTTACCTGCATATGCTTCCTGCTGTTTCCGCCAAGCTCTGTATTGAGAGGGGGTTAAAGACCTACAGTCTTCTCGCTGAGCCTCTGTCCTACGCTGTGATGCCTCTCCAAAGCAACCAAATGAAAAGGCCATTCGTTGCAGCCTGCTGGGTGCCCTCCGGGTCCCACTGCTGCTATTGCTGCGGCTGGTAGCAGCAAGTCCGCCCTTTTTCTCGTCTGCTGGCTGCAGTAGACAGCACGCCTCCCAGTCAACTCCATCTTCCTGCTGCTTTTGCTGTTGTCGCCGCTGTTGCTCTTGTTGCCGGTGCTGCAGTTGTTGCTCTTGCTGCGCTTGGCTTATTCTGCTGCTGCTATTGCAGCGGCTGAGCCATGCACGCCGTTCCTTCCCGCCAGCCCTGTGTCCCAATAGTAAACCCAAGGCGAGACGTCGAACAAACTCCCGAGGTCTCTGCTGCTGCTTCTGACCCTGCGGTTCTTGCTGCGATTGGTTTGTCTTCTCGTGCAGCATGTCTGGTTGTTTATGTGGAGGTTGTTGCACCAGATCCTGCACTCCTTGTTGTTCTCGCAAATGAATACTAGTGTTAGAGTCAAAGCCCACATTGGAGGGAACGAGTGCATCGAGAGTCGAAGCGTTGCGTGGTTGCCTCTGTAGGCCTCTGGAACACTTGAGAACCTCTGAAGAGGCCTTCTCAACAGAACCGATATCACAGCACAGCCTCTGCACGCTGTTAGTGCTATTGTCGTTGCTGCTTCTGTTGTAATTCCTGCTGCTCCTGGGCTCTACCGGACACTCCAACGCGCCGTGTACAGGGCCATCCGGTGCTCCAGTCTTTTTGGCAGATGTGAAATTCACTGTTGCACACACTTCCGTTCGGGCAATTGCCCCAGTTGCTGTTGCTGTTGATGATGATGTTGCCGCAGATCTTGAAGCGGAAACGGCATCACAAGGGCCAACAGAGCAATCCCCTCGGGGTTGGAGGACCCCTGCTACAGGACGGGGAATGCCGCCGGTCCTAGGCAGTGATGTTCCTAGCCAACTGCTGTTGTTGTTCATCCTGTTGCTGCGGCCGTTCTTCCTGCCATCCGCGACGCCGCAGTCGTTGTTCACTGTCCCTGTCTTCGTGCTGTCGCCACTGATTTTCTGTGAAGCAACCACCGCAACGGGAGTCGCCCTTCCCCTTCCCGCTGTAGTTACTTCAGCTGGCACATCTTGAGCTGCTCTTATTGTTCCTGCTGGTGTTGCAGGACTTAAGGGAACCGAAATGAGTGCGCCATTGGGGAGTTGATGCCTGTCTGCTGCGACTCTGAGATGCTGCATCATCTCAGCAGAGGGCCGCCGCGCCAGGTTCCCGGGCCAAAAGCCATCGGCACAGCGTTCCCCCAAAGGCAAGGCCAGGGGAAGCAGAAGTAGCCCTTGCTGCTGCTTTTTCTGCTCTTGCTTCTGTCGATGTTGTTGCTGGTGCTTCTGTTCTTCTTGCGTTTGGGGCGGTTTCACAAGGGGCTGTGAAGTCATCTGTGTTTGTGGAACTGGAAGTTGTTTGGGGTCCCCTTGGATGCACCGTGTGGGAGGGCTAGCCAGCAGCTCCCCAGATCCAGAAAGATTAAATGCTGCCGCGCCTTGTGTCCGCATTATTACTGCTGCTCGTTGGGTAGGGGTTCCGGGAGCGTCGGGCTCTCTAGCAAGAGGAATCGATGGCGATGCAGCTGGTGTGGTTTCACAAGGGGTTGTGAAGCCATCGTGCTGATGGCTCCCCTCAACAATGTCATGCAGAGCCTCAGGATTCATCTGCGGAGATTCCTGATTTCTTAGGGAGCTGGAAGTGCTAGTAGAGGCTCTGGGCGCCTGTTGACGACCACCGGAGGCCTCCTCGGGGGTCCTTGGCAGGAACCCACTACTCTTAGCGGCCATGTGTCCTTCCTGCTTGGTAGGAAGGTGGCACTCAGGTAGCCATTGCTTGTTGAAGCGTAGCCAGCTCAGCTGGCGGAGCTGCTGCAGAAGTTGTTGCTGCTGCAGCTTCTGAAACTGCTGCGGGCACCGCTGCTCCTGTCGCTCCAGCTGCCGCTGCTTCGGATAGGGCCACGTGTAGACCTGAAAAGCTAAAGAGACTGAAAGATGGAACGCTTAGCATGCATGCGCTTGAGAAGGCCTCGCAGTACCTCATACTGGTCGTTCCTTGAAAGAGTTGCGATGGGGGGAAGAGGAGATAGGCGCGGAAGCGCAACAGTGCTCATCCTGAGGGTTTTTTTTCTAGTCACTCCTGTCTCTCTTGTCGCAATTACGGCTTCTTTTGTTGCTCCTGCTCCTGCTAGTTCTGCTGTTGCCGCCTTCTTTGCTACAGTTGCAGTGCGCCCACTGCATTTCCAGCACAGTTGCTGCCCCCAAGTGCACCCGGCGGCCCTGCAACTTCCCCTTCCTGTCCGAATACAAAGGTTGTTGCCACACTACAATTCGTATGGAATACTGATGGACCTAAGGGTGAGGGCTCTTCAGGTGATGGTGGGGGATTCTAGCATAGCAGGGGTGGCCCACCAACGTGAGATTATGGGGTAACCGAAGTGGTCTAGCGGGGACGCAGTGGGGCGGGAAGAAACAAACAGCAAAACAACTCAAAAAGAGGACTAATGGATGTCGATACACAGAATACTCTCCGTCTCCACGGCGCTATCGCTCTCTCGGAGGACGAGCAGGAGGAAATACTTGCTGCGTTCTGGCATTAAACAGCGAGCAATGAAGTCGACCCTCCACTCGGCAAACCAAAGGCTATTCATCCATTTTTATCTAGCTATATTTCATGAAAATATCCAGGAGGTGAGCACGTCATTCTCTGAACCACAGAACCCCGCCCGAATTTAGGGCTGAGCCACAGAGACATCGCCTCGCCGCATCAGTGCAGACCTTCCACATTTTAGAAGAGCCCAATCATCACTTAAAACAACACGATCTTAAGCTTTTAATGACGTATTTGATATTCTAGTTGATGTAGATTTAAAGGGAGCAAAAAATCGCGTTTACGACGCGAAGAACAGCTCCCAAGCTACAACGTGCCGGCAACCACCGCGCGAGCAACGGTTAGCTCATCTGTCAGCTTCTCACTTTCTAACGATATTAGACGCTGTCAATTCACCCACCTACCATTTAAATGAGATTTCTAATTCAATGCACACAAATATGGGTTGATAGAGCCCCCGCCCTAGCTGGGCTGTGATGCTGAAGCATGGTCTGTAACGCATGGCCTGTCTCAAAGTTGGTACCTGCATTTCTGCATGCATGCAGGCTGGCTATGGATGCCCAGTTAGGTGTTTGCTAACTGTTTTCGACGCCAGGGCATGCATTAAAAGGGGGATTATGCATGCTTGCACCTGGGGTTGCCTCCCAACGGGCGTGAACAAAGGAGTTGTAACAAGAGGACGCGTTCTTATCGGAGGACCGTCATGAGCTGCCATCGCGCCAAAAGACTTAATGTAGGAGTTCTAAAAATGCTACTGAACTCCCGTACCTTCCATAGACATCCTGCTGACGGCGGCTGGGGTTGGGAAGGCGGCCTCAAAGCTTACAACGCGCCTCGTTGTCACATATGTTTCAAGGTACTTTCACATGCAAGCGCAACCAAACCACAATTTTCTCTCTGCACTAACGCTGTATACAGTTTTACTACTTCTGGTTGCATGCAGGCTGCCTATTAGCCCACTAGCCCAACTTTGGAATTATCATGTTAACGAGGGCCTGGCGTTACAGCAAGCTCTGGTGCAACTCTTTCTACAGGGCAAACCCCCATGAAAGCATACTTGAGCACCATTTTGGTGCGTGGACTACAACGAGGGAGATTTGCGTAGCACCTAATTTGCCCTCAGTAGCCAGCCTCACGAAAAAATAGTAGTGGGCTAAGCTAAGAGAGAGACCATAAGAGAGCACGCTACACCTATCGCGCTGAGGCGCGCATGAAAAGCAGCCTACAGAGAGAAGACACGAAAGATTTCTGTTCGATATTCCAACTCTTATGACTTCTTTTATCCCATTAGAGGAGCATATTCACGGGTCGCGGTTTCAACTGTAGCTTCAAAAAGAGTGCGTGGAGCAGGGAGAGACAAAGTATCGCCAATCCTTAACTCACATTAATCCTGTCTATTTTTGGTTGAGTCTTGGGAGATGTCCGAGGTTGTCGGAGAAGAGGAGAGCGCCTCAAAGGTTGTTCAACGGCCTTACCAGCACAGATATTCATTTTAACTGGAACGGGAGGAACTTTGCACTTTATTTCATCTCCATAATGTTTAATAAGAATGTGAAGCTTGGGAACGCCAGCGGGGAGTCTCACGGATGGTAGAGAGTGACGAACGAAGGCCTGCTGACTCCTTTTGCACGTTCGCGAATGCAAGGGTGAGCAAAGACTAAGGAAACGAATATTTGCCACCTGCAGAGCTCCAATGAGCGCTACAACAGGCATTTTCTTGATGGATCAGCGAGTGCAGGGCAAACTCAAGTTCCTTTAAACGAAGACGCCCACTTAGGTGTAGGGCTGCTGGGGTCCACTTGCAGGCCCAGCCAACTGGTATTCTTCCTCCCGAAGGTTTCATCGGAGTACCCGTAATAACCTTTTACTTCGCAACAGGGAGGGCTGCTTGTTAGCTTTCCATGAGTTTCCTGTGCGCCATCATTGGGAAACAGCTTATTCGCGCTGACCTATACTTGCTCTAGTACAGACAACTACTCCAAATTATTCTCCTTTGGGGACATCTCCTGCGGAGCATTTTGCCCAGTTTGATTTTTCGTGTGGAGGTCCACTGCTTTTTGTGTCGAATTCTTTTGACCATGTTCCCCGCATATGCTGCTTGATTCCTGCACAGTGCTCCCCCCACCATATGCCGTGTGTTCGAGCCATGCTAGCACTTCTCGTCGAGAAGACACTTGGAGCAGACTCCACGCAGGTCAGGAGCCACCAAGAATAATTTCTTCCAATCCCAATATTTTAGCGGGAGGTAGAACTGGCATATCTATGCAGCAGCATTTGGAGAAGTCGGAGGTAACTCATGCGCGGAGTTGTGTGGGATGAAGGTTTCACCTTGGGCCTACATATCATCAGCTGAGCAGGTGCATAGCGTACTCAGGCTGTAGAATCCTGCTTCTGTAAAACGCAGCACAACGAATTCCGGGAAATTTTACGGAGCCCTTGGCCAATGAAGAGCAGATGGATTTGGTCTGCTACCATCTGATGCACATCGGCATTAACACTGGCCCAAGTTGTGCTAAAAGGCAGGGAATGCGTTGTCCAAAACACAACACCAAAACGGGGAGTTGTTTTGTGCACACAGACATGCATGCATTCCTATGCACCTACATAAATTCATGCGTGTACGCGTACGTACACACATTCATGCATACGTACGTACTTGCAAACAATCGTATGTACCTACATACATTCGTACACACATAGACAAATACAGACACACATAAACATACATACACTTACATGCACATCCGCACACATACCTACGCATGCATACGTACACACATACACGCACCGGCCTACCCACCTACATATACACACAGTCGCAACATGACTGAGGATGTGCTACCACTCGAAACGCGAAAAACATGGAGTGCCACGAGTGGCCAAGTAGGGATAAGCGTGCTTATTTGTGCCATTTCCCAACCAGAATTGCATTTGTGTTTGTAGCTTCAGCCATAAACGCTAGTGATTGTTGTGGCACGACCAAATTGTGAATGAGTGGGAAGAGACAAACTGCGCTCACATGCTCCTCGTGCCGCCAATTAGAGCTTTCACCCGCGGTAAACACCACAAGGCGATTCAACCGAAACGGAAATGCGCTTATCGGTATGCTCAGAACAATACCTGCCTCTCAACTGTCACTGCAAGGAAGTATTATGACTCTTGAATCGCCCGCAGTGGGCAAATCTGTACTGCACAGGCACTACAATGGAGCTTTGGTGTGGCCTCTAGAGGCCTAAAATCATGAAAAGCAACGAATATTGTAGAATATTTCAGGGATTAGGACACTTTTGGATAGAAAAGAAGCTTCATAAGATCAGAGTGGTCGCCAGCCGGCACCAGCTTGGGGCTGGGTGCGAGGCTGTTGCTGTGACCCTCGCCCACGCCCTCGGCGAGGGTCGGGCATCAGTTCTATTATTTCGGGTTTTCTTCCCGAACAATAATAGGAAAGTCGATCATATATTTGGTTGTTAATTGTGTTTATTAGTGGTTGCAGCGAGAACCATTTCGGTGTCTGGATATAGTGTGTGCACCTATTCTGGCTAACCTAGGGATCTATCGTAGTGACAGCGTATGCCAGCTGTTTACTACAAAATCGAAGTCGGCATAAGGGGAAAACTCAACGTTTGCTGAGTGCATTCAACAAGACAATCGTTTTCATGACACACCGCTGCTTTTACATCTTCCTTCTGCAAATTGCAGTACCCTACTTCTGTGGTAGATCGTTTGTAGGTGAGACTGGTGTTTTGCACACCCTATTTCTGTGGTAGATCGTTTGTAGGTGAGACTGGTGTTTTGCACATTGGCGTACTGCAGACCAAGCGAGCAGCAGCATGCAACACAGAAACGGAGCAGGAAGGGAAGCAGTGCAGCGCTTCCCTGGCAGGTGAGAGTCTAGGCTCAACTCCGTTTGGCATATATGCTACCTAGGAAGTCAGCACCCAAAAGTGCTATCGCAACTGCAAACTTCGTGAACTCATTCGGAAACGATCGGCGGCTAGTGAGCTATGTTTAGAGCCTACTGGTATGAGGCTAATGCTCGCAGTAGGCCTTCTCATACATCGCTCACCTGCAGAGTTGTGTAAAGTATACACGAGACATTGGCGTGAGCACTATAAGCAGCTCAGAGGTAGAGGTTGCAAATAATTTGTTTCCTGATGAATTTGTGCCTTTTCCCCGCATCTCAGCTGTAGCATCGTCATTCATATTTGAGCATATGCATTCCTATTTTCGCATAGGCTGCCCGCAGAGGGCCAACAGGAGTCTTTAACCGTTTTCTACAGTGTTAGTGCGCGCACCAGCAGATGCTTGGCTGTGCGGGCATGCGGCTTTATCTTGCAATACTAGTTGCTGCCAGGTGCGCTTATACTGCTGACAGGCCTTTTCTTCGCCGCACCAGCCCCAGGCTCTTGGGCCGTTGTGGCTGGGGCGCCTGTAGACTGTAGGGGAGGTCAGTTAATTTTGGGGGAGCAACTCTTATATTGAGTATCTTGGCTTTAATATCCACTTTATTGTTCTCGGATACGATGGAAGACTCTCGTTCCACTTGTAACGCCGCATGATTAAAAGGGGCACGCCCAAGCTGCAAACCCCACCCCCACAGCGGGACACCATGAAGCAAATCATTGGCTAGTTGTAAAGGTATATTAACCCCACCCGAAACCCAGAAACAACTTTTTGATGCTCTTCCAAAAGTTTTCGTCGGGATTCAGCCTCTGCTCCCACTTCCCTACACCCTTGCGAACATTGGACGCTGATCAGGACTTGCCTTTGTTCGGGGAGGCGACGAATGGCTGGAAGCTGTCTCGCGGTAAGGCAGGAGTCACATCTACTGCCCAGCCGTCGAAAAATGCTTTTTCTGCAAAACCAACTCACGAACAGTACTTTCGCCTCTTCCGACCGTTCAATTATTACGGACGCCTCGATGCGGATGAAGTAAACGAATCCGTTTCGATGGGGGAGTATTTTTCCTCAAAATACATCCGAAGGCCTGAAAAGTGCCCTTCGGAAGTTCAAAGATGAATCAAGATGCTGACTTTACCAAGTGACGACGGTGCGTCCCTTCCGGAGCACTCCCGGGATGCGCTGTGACGTCGATTACCCTTCAGACCAGCAAAGAGACCAGCAATAGATGGCGATAAAGAAGCTAGACAAGCGAAGTTGTCGATAGACAGCTGCAGTGAGAAGTATCAGTTCTCGATAGACTGAAATCCCGCGGTAGGATTGGAACTTCTGTGGCAGTAGTTCATCGTAGACACCAAAGAGCGAAAACATCCCGCGACACTGACCTAGCTGAAAAGAAAGAAGAGGGCCACAAGGCAACAGAAGCGGTCCAGATGAAGAATTAGTGCATATTGGGGCTGGTAATGCCAGCCCCGCCAGAAAAACATAAAAAGCGAGAACCGAGGACAGCTGGCGAATCGGGTGCCCAACCCGGCATTGGGCAGTTCCGGCCGGCGCATACGTTTCTCTCGCAACAAAGAGGGTCACACAATTCAATAGCTGAAGAATATGAAAAGGGCGAAGAGAATTAAAAGAAAAAGCTTTGAGCGGCGACGCCGGGCGGACCAGCCAGCAGTTCAAGGAAATGCTGGCTCGCACGTCACCTGGAGAGCAGCATTGGGGCCAAAAAGTACAACATCTTCACATGGAAAATCGCGTCGAGCCAACCCTGTGCTTGTTTAAGTTTGTAATAATGTTCAGGAGTTGCTAGTTCCACTTGACACATTCGACGAATTGAAGCCTACATCTGAAGCTATGGTTCCTGCGATTGCTCTGCGCCTCCGGCACAAGGGAGAAGCGGATCGGTGAATTCATTGGTGCAAAATGCACGCTCAACTCATATATGGGACATGTTTCCATCATTCGAGACTTTTATATTAGACAAGTTCACCACACACAATAATCCTAGGAATGTAGTTGGTAACTCAGGGACGCATGCTGACTCCACAAAACACTACTGTTTCTTTTTGCTAGGCCACGCGAAGGTGCACACATTCCAACAGAATCTGCGTATCCCATGGAATGACGAAGGAAATCAGCGTCTCCAGGAGAAAGGTTAGAGAAAATTGCAACGCATTACAGAGGCAACGCAGGAAAGGACGGGAAAACGCATCAACCCTATGGTGCAGTCGTACGAAGATCACTGTTGGGGGGGATTCGATCCAGTGGACGCCTAAGAAACAGCAGAATTGCCCGCAGTTGAAGCAAGAGCTACCAGATGCATTGTATAGCAATGTGCCCCCAGCAGGGCGGATCACAGCTAAAGGCCCAATGCATCTCATCAAGCTCCTCCCGCATCCACAAGTTTCCTTCGGGTGTGCAGGCAAACCCCGCAACTTGAAGAGGCAGTCAACCAACAAACAGACGGTCTCCAGAGAAGGCAAACCCCAACAATCAACTATCGCTTTCGGAAACAGTCCGGTCCTGGAGAAGAAAAATAACGGGAAATGGTGCATGTGCATCGACTTCAAGCCCCTCAGTGCAATCAAAGGGAAAGAAGGTCCCGGTGCATTAATTCGACGACCTACTCGACCGCTTGCAGAGTTCAACAGTCCATCTGGTTTTTGGCTTCACTGACTATTTTCTTCATACTCAGCATCCCAACGAGAAGCACAAGTCTGCACTCCACACCAGCGGTGGGCCAACTGGAGTACGTCTGAATGCTGTCTGGTCTCGTCTATGTGACTGCCGAATTGCATTGACATACTTATCAGGATTTTTCCCGGCCAGTATGTGCGGGCTGGATGGTTATATGCATGTGTGACGCTCTTCTACTTGCAGGCGAATAGCCAACACAAGCCGTTTGCACTTCAACTGCTGCGTGATGTGCAGTTGTTCGTAAACCACTGCAAGGAGACCAAACGTGTCCGCTGTTTTCATGAATGAAGATAATTTCGTATGTGCGCGTGTGTCTACAGGAGGAGCCAACCCACATCCGGCGAAAACAGAGCCCTTTCGGACGTAGCCGGTACCTTTGTACACTAGGAACGAAGGACGATCAGAAACTTACCTCGCACAACCACAACCTCATCCCTGGATTATTTCGCCTAGCTGCCTCCCCAGCGCTTCTTCTAAAGAAGGGCACACAGAAGAATAAACCGCGGGGAGCCTTATTAGACAGCTTTATTGTCTCCAGTACTTGCGCGCTCTGATTTCTATTGGCCCTTCTTCCCGTCAACCCATACCAGTGACACAGTGATCCTGGTGGTGGTCCTTCAGCAAGCTGACGAATCGAAAAACAGCATCAAATAATCGCCTGCTAGTCGCACAATCCTACAAGAGGTGATACAATCATCCAGCATGGATAAAGGAGTGCGATGCAGAATGGTGGGTAGTGAAGAAGTGCCGACACCACTTAGATGGAGGGCTTTTCAGTGTTCAAATGGGTCATCTATCCCCGACATACCTAGCGAATGGTTCTCAAGCCTTCGATGAAGGACGTGCTGTTCGGTCACTTTGCAGGCGTACGCAATACCATGCCACAATCAAGTACATCATGGATACCGCCAATATGCTTGCTAGCACTCTCCGGATGCCCTATAAGCCAGGCCCTTTGTTCCGCAACTGTTGTTGCTTGGATACAGATACGCGATTATGCGTCTAGCGTAGCCTTCTAGTGGGAGGGCTGGCACCAAAAGGGCATTTAGTTATGCTTGCATCCACAAGCGCCCTTTTGCAGCAGGAGTTGCACCATTATGTGCAAAAATGAGTTTCAGGCTGACTTCTCTCCACAGCAGCCCCAAAATCCTGTACCACTGTGCCAGTAAAACCTGAAAGCTGGAGGGGAAGTCATTTGGTTGTGCGGGGCTGTTATTTCTAAGGGATGAACCTATTTTAGCTAGCTGATATCCTCGACTAACCCCGATTATTTTATTTACCCTTTATGTCTTTTCTAGCGTGTGGTATTTCTCTGCGAGGTGCTGGCATTCACAGCCCAAACACTGAAGCCCATTTCTTGGATCCTTTTCAAAGCGTTTTCTCCGTCTTCCGGTAAGGCTGTAGTAGTGGCGTTTTCTTCTCCTCTTGACTTCTCAGTAATTCGTCATGTCCACCTGATCATACCTTGGCTTGATGATGGCACATAGCCAGTCACTCTTTGACCCTCTCTAGAGAAGAGCCCCGCGACGAACCACTGGCATGGTCGACCGATCCGGACAATAGTTCCAAAGAACCATTTTCCCCCTCTCCAATCTCCAGGGTTCCTGTGGACAGTTGCAGAGGGTCGCGGCGCTGTGAGAGAGCAAGCGGGATGCCCAGTTACCGAAGCCCCGTTTGCGCGCACTCGCCGATACAGTAGACAATTGTTAAACATTAATCTTTCTCACTAGCAGGTACAAATAATACGCCTACCATCAACCTCCAACAGACCCTCCTGCACGAAGAATACCGCCTCGCGGGAGCGCGCCCACGACAGAGTGGCCAACGTCGGCGGGCAATCGATGTACAGTGTGCCCGTTAGAAATATAAGGAGAATCTAAAATTATACGTTAAGGGAAGATCTGAATTACGACTCGTTCTCTCGAAAAAAATGCATACAAGTAAAGTGACCTCCACAGACTGGTCTGCCGTCAAAACAACGAACTACGGTCCAGGGGCACGCCACCATCGTTGCAACGGAGAGCAACAGGCGATCAACACAGGACTAGCAGGAAAAAAAGTAATATGTGTATTTGCACTTCCTGTTTGTACAATGCCTTTTAGTTGCTGGCTTGCGCATTGCACGTTCTGGTTGCCTGGGTGAGCGGCGAGCGAAGAAACGAGCATGGGGAGGCGTTGGGTATAGCGTGAAGCCTTCTAGTTTCTTACTCTACGTCATGAATTGCTTTTTAGAGGCGGTGCAATGTTTTTGGCATGCTTCTGCATAAACCATGCATCTAGCGAGAAATGCGCTCGAACAGTCACGAATACTGGAAGCATGCTCCTGTCCACGCTCCACTTGGATGGGGATCGCTTGTAAGACAATATCTTCGGTAAAATTACTGTTTCTATTGGCTTAATGTTTTCCTCTACCTTGTGGCCGTCAGGATTGGCCCCTGCCAGCTGTCGATTGTAGTTCCGAGTAACTGGTCGGATCGTATGCCCAGTGGTTATCCAGCCGAGTTCATACCTTCTGGTTCGTCCTGATGTTAAGTCATCCCCACACCGAAGCAGAGTCTCCCGTACAGTTGGCGTCACATGTAACAGATCATTCGACGTCTTCGGCTCCTCCCTCGGAGTGTAGCTACTTCCCTTACACCACCCAGTGGCCCAACTCAAACTTCAGCAAGCGGAGACTTTGCCCCCAGAGGCAGCAGTTGACTGGGTTGTTTTGTGCATTAATGGTAGTCTTTCTGTTTGGGGGTTACTTCTGCCGTCTGAAGAGCCGCAGTGGCCACAAGGCAATGCTGGCGGCCAGGCGGCTGGCAGGAGCAGATGAAGCAAATCAACTGCATTCGCTCGAAGAAGGCTTTGTCTCGAACTTGTGCAAATTCACTAATGAGTTAGTTGGCGATGAACCACTCGCCAAGGCTACGGATCAGCCTTCAGTTTCAACGGAGTCAGCAGAGGTGCAGACTGGGGAGCCCAGTGGAAAAAGGAAAAGAAAAGCAAGGCATATTCAGCAGCACGGGGACAAGGCGACCGAAATTTTACAGGGATTGAGTGAAGATTTGACGGAACATGTGGCATCATCAGCGGAGTTGTGGGCGCCTTTTCCCGAATATTCAACTGATGAAGCGGAGGCCCAAGAACAACTCGCGAAAAGGGCGAGAATTGCCGAGTGGTCAATGGACCCCGTTGGGGATATAGAGCTGCTTTTGGAAGGTCAGCAGAACATTTCACCCGGAGAATTGCCTGCAAGTGAACAACTGGGCTTCGACACCGCAGACGTTCCAGAGAGTGTTACAGTGGTGGATCCACAACCTGAAGGCCTTCCTACCGCAGAGGCATTTCTGCCCGCTTATCAGCTTCGAAATGCATCTGAAGGGTCATCATCAGGCATATACTTTTGGGAAACGGCAGCTGGGGTCTCTGCAGCACATGGAGCTCCGGATGAGGAGGAATTGTTGGTTGGCGAATCACATGCAAGCTTTGACCGCCGCTCATATTCATCGAATCGTGCTAGCAACATATTGCCACAAGTGATAAGCCAGCATATTCGCGCAGGAGGTATTGTAGTACATGCTTCGTTGCCTGTACCTTGGCAAAACTACGGGGAGCCGAGTCAGGCGCCTTTCGTTCAACACCAGCAGCTGAGCCACACAACTTACGGCGAAGCTCAGCTTAGCTACCCATTAGCCCATTCTTTCATGATTCCCACAGTGCAACTTGCAGCAGTAACCGGTACCCAGAAACAGCCTGCAGACACTCTGTTCCAAAGAAAGCAAAGCGTAGCAGACATGGTGCGTCGGAGATGTGGTGACACGGTGAGCGGTTCCATTTCCTGCGTGTGACTTGCACATAGAGCTTAACAGGGTCTGGTTTCTGGGGATTATGTGGCATGCTACGGTGTTAGTTGTTGCGGCCCTTATGGCCTGCCTCGGGGCCTTGCGTTTAGCTTCCCGGTTCCTCAGAGGCGCATTCAGGCTGAAGCTTCAGGCTAGGGGGTTTGTGGATGCGATGCTTGCTCTTGCGTTTTCAACTCAGCAAACCCCGTTGAACCAGGAAGAGTGGCTGAGCCGCCATCCTTTTTACCGACTGCCAGATCTCCTGCCAGGAGTGGAGGTAAGGAACTTTGACTGGAGACGCCCTCTGCTGTCTTCAGCGATTGTCCGCCATGTGCCACAGAGGCTTACGGATTTTCAAAGATTAATAAACAAACAGGCGCTTTCTCAGGAAGACGTCGACCAGCTCACGCATACTGTTTGGGATCTCCTGAGGTTTGCATCCTCCACTAAGTCCAGGAGTCTGGCGAAGCCCATTGGCGAATTGTTAGAACCGCTTTCACTAAGATTCCTTATAGCAGATGCATTGTGGTGTGCCTGTGAGCTATTTGGGAAGTTAGCAGAGAAGGAGCGATGGTGGGCATTTGTGATGGACTCGCTGACTGCACCGCCATTGCATTTGAAGGAGGCTGAACGGCAATCTGGGAAGCCGGCCGAGTATGTACTCCAGGTCTGTCAAGCGCTTTCCGTGTACCGGAGTGGAAATCGACCTTCAGGGCAAGTGGTCGTGAATCTCAAGAAAACGTTGTTTGGGCCGCCGCCAATACATCGTAATTTCGGCCGAATGGTATGGGACTGGTGGAGACGAGAAGCGGGTCTGTTGGAACCGCCGCAGTGATGCGTTCGTCTGTCCTGGAAGGCGCTTTGCACCTCGTGTGGTCAGCCAAGACTGGGAGACCGACGAATTCAAACGTAGACTACAGGACCACATAGATTAATTTGCCACGGCGTGAGAATATGGTTCTGGGTAAGTGTACGGCTGGCTTTCAGTGCCGTGACAACATGTTAGCGCATTTTTAGTGACGCCAGCACGTCCCCGCAAGTGTGCACGAGTAGCCTGACTCCTTCGAAGTACCCTTACGCTGTGCACGAGCGGAAGTGAATGCTGATGATCCATCAGATGCCCAAACGCAAGTGCAGTAAATACGTCGCTGTTGAATGCGTCTGCATAAGGGCGGCGAAGATGGTGAATTCCACGCTTGCTTGGGTACCCTGACGATTCTGGGTCTCACCAGTTGATCAAGGGGTCATCGGCAAGCACAATGCTGGGCTTGCCTGAGTATTTTAACTTCCATTATACGATTTCAGAAGAGTGGAAGAACCTTAGAACCTGCTGAACCTTAGTGTATCCTAAGTAGCGTGTCCTGGATATAGTTTAAAGGTGTATTCAGCCACTACTCGCCTGGCCATTGGATTCAACCCGAAGATTCCGTCTACCTCCTGAATCTGTGAGCGGCAGCAGATCAAACGCAAAGCTACTAGGACGTGCGAATGGAGGGACCAACCTGCGAGATTCCTGCAGATGAATATGCAGATTTGCTTGCGCGAGGACTTCCTACCGACAAAGTATTCTGCACGTCGTCGCTGCGCATATTTCCCTTCGCTTGGCTATTGCCAGGGGCAAACAGCACCAACCGGCGTTTAAAGCTTGACTCCATATGAATATATCACTCTGTGGCGGTTCAGCTTATTAGTAGAAGAATATAACTCCTCCCTTCAATCCACATGCTTCACGACTTACTCTGCCCCGTACCCGAGCACAGCTCTCACAGTGCGCATGCACCCTTCTCACGATGACGGGAAAAGTTCGTGTGCACTAACGGTATGCTTCTCATTCGCTATGCACGCCCTAAGCACCCTGGCTTTACTTGAAATGAGGATCTCATCCTCAGCCAAGCATCCGCGTTTAGCAATGCAATTACATGCTGTAAAATATGTCGTCATCTTTTTGATATCACTCATTAACACAGTCGCAGGCATCCGTCTGATGAACCTTAGTCGTGCTTGTTCATGTCACGCACGGCGCGATTCAGGTGTACTTCGCCCAAACTGTTAGCGCAGTTTAGTTGAAGACCACTTTTCGCAGCGTAGTATGCTCATTCTACACAAGCACGGACGGGCACGCATTTGATTCTGGGGCACTAACGCCGAGAGGAAAGTTCCCGCACATGCGTGCAGTGGAATGCCATGTTCATGCAGGAATACGTAACAGGCCAATACTTCACATGCTCGAAATTGCTAACGTTCTGCTAAGTTTCACAATCATTTGTGTACTGCAGTGCTTGTCATACGACGCAGTGTCTTTACTCGCACGCGAATGCAGTGCAACGCGACTGCCGCATTCATTGTTTAACATTTAATCTTGTTTCCTTCATTACACCCAAAACATACCGAAAGTTACTCTAGCATAGTCCCCCCAGGAAGCCTCACATTCTGCCCAGACTCGAGCAGTTGGCACTGGCTGCTCTTCTGGTATTGCGTACAGCCTAGCATGTGTGCTGGTGGTACGCGGCAAGGAAGAGGCGATTGAAGCAATTGAATGTTAGAGTGAGCAATTTTCAGTAGATAAATTAATCTGAAGACATTTCATTGACTGAGACTTGCATTAGTTTAATCCGACTACAGCAGGTATCAACGTTTGCACGCTGAGGGGCGGTGGTTCCATACCACCTCATTTTCCGCCACTTTCGCGACCGCCACTTCAGTAGGGTGCAGTACGAAGCTTAGAGAGTCCTTCTGCGAAATAGAAATCGGAAACTGACTTATTTTTGGCAGGAACCACCAATGTAGAAATAAATGCCAAGTAGACGGAAATCAAATGCGCTCGCAGGACAACACCGGCGCAGGCTGACGAAACAGGCTTTACCACTCCACTGGATGCTTCAATATCTGCTCCCTCTTCATTCAAAAATTTCACTAAATTCTAACTGGTGGCTTAGCATGTTGGAATGGCAGGTAAAGATTCAGGCTCTGTGTGACGAATGCGGCATGCAACCAAACCACTGGCACCAATGACCGGTGTGGCTGCGAGCGACCAGAGCTGTTTTTCTAGAGGGGCTACGCACTTCACAGACAAAACCTCTTCTCCATTTCATTAGTTGTATTGGCATAATCGAAAGTACTCTTTATTTCTGACGCTGACAAGCCGTTTGTCGGACGATACAAGTTCGCGTAGGCGCCGACCAGTCCTGTCCACCCGTGTTCTTTCCATTGCTCTTCCTCTGCACAGATATCTTTCGCACAGCGCTCCTCTCCAGACTTCCTCATTTTACTTTGTGCCTCCCAGCTGCGTCTACAGTGCCGCAGAGCGGTCCCTCGCCCCTCACATATCACGCAAGTTGCCGGGAAACTGGAGCCAGAAATCGGCGCATGCTTAGGAGCAGTCTTCTCGAAGGCGTGAAGGCTAACCTTTGGTGAAAATGACAGGAATTGAACAGGCAAAAAGCACCTCAGTAGAGGTACCCCATAGTTCTTTGGGATGTCTGCTGGCCGCCTTCGTCGTAGAGAAAGAAATCCACAACCAGTTGCGCCACTTAGAGCGCCACTTAGACGCTTTTTTGTTGATCGAGCAGCTGAAGCAGAGACTGAAAGCGAAATCGCTTTCAGAAGGGCCCCGTTCAAACCATGTAGCAGGAAGCATGAAGCCGGAAGACGTAGTGGGTGCTGCGGAGTTAAACGACTTGCTGGACAATGACCCAGAAATTGTGGAAACTGCATTCAGACGCCATATGGTTGCAGAAGTCTACAGAGACATGGACAAACCAGAATGTCTGGAGCGCTTAGACACCCGAGCGAGTCAAACGGCAGAACTTATCCAGCAACTGCGCACGCAAGTGCAAAAAGAGAAGTCGCCGCAGCTGCAAGAGCTAAGAGACTTAATCGACAAGAAATATAATCAGACAACAGGAAACACACCAAAAGATCCGTCTCTGCTTTCTAAAGTGCTCACGCAAACGACGCACCCACTCCTCCAAGCAGCGAAACCAGGCCCCTGGGAAGCCCCAAACCCTAAACCCTAAACTCTAAACCGCCACCTCTAACCACCCATTCGGAACCCTCAAAAACAAAACATATCCTCATGAACTTGTTGCGTGCGGGTATATGTATGCATGCACATGAGGTTTTTGTTTTTCTAGGCGTATCGGCAGTCAATACGCATGTGCACGTGCGTTAGTAAGGAGTTGCATCTGTGCGCTCATATTCACATTTACGCGTACGGGAGCACGCACCCACACGGACCTGTCTCTGTGTGAGCTTGCTTGTTGCTTACGGCGCATTTGTCTTCCTTTTCATGCCTGGATCTTCTTTAGTTTGTTATGTGAAGTTGCCGGGCCATTCGCCTCTTCGGAGAACGTGGCGTAGAGAGCTGTGTTTTGTCCGTAGGAAAGAAGTCGTTAACGAAGGCTCTAACCTTAAGATACAGTTGAGGAATTACAGCGACAACCCCGACAAGATATCTGTTCGACTTGAGGGCGTTGTAGCCGCTCCACTTATTTGTATCCTTTCCGTTTTGAACGAAGTGGACCACTTCAGCAACTGGGTGCCTTATTTCACCAAGCCATTCAAGTAGGGTCTGCCTTTAGGACACAGGAGATTAGGGTTGAAACTCTACATGTAGGCTGCTTGGGGTGTATTCTTTTTGGCTGACGCTCAACCGCTTCGTATGAAGGGTTTAGGGTTTGTCCTCCACAACGCGTCCGCGGATATTTCGTCTTTCCAGGCTGCGATGCTAGGCCCAGGCCCTAGAATGCAAACACTAAATCGTAAATCCTCATTGGATGCTGAGGTGGCTCAGACTTGGCCTACGTAAAGTTGAAAACGAACGTCTCGGGCGCGTCGATCAAATGGTGCAGTTCCACATCGACTTTCCCTGGCCGTTTGCGAACAGGTGGAAGCTCACCTCAAGTGATTGTGAAACCGCCTCCTACCTCAAACTAATTTTACATGCATATTTTCGATGCTACATTTTTCAGCCAGCGTTTCACCTTTTGTTTCGCGATGTACGAATGAGATCTCTTTGGGCGTGCCGTTGCAGCTCCAATTTGACCCGTAAGCGCTTGTGAAGGGGCTTCAGGTTTTTGACTTGAGGCCTCGGGGTTTGCAGGGACGCGTGTTTTGAGGTATTTGCTGTGGATGACTTCGAACGGAATTCGCAAATTGTTGTTAAAATGATTACACTGGACAACGCCTGCAAGACGCCGAGGCAAACAATGGTGAGTCTTGGGGCGTAGCTGCGCCTGCCTCCTACTGACTTGGATTAACCTGCTGCTCTATCTATTCTATGCCCCCTTGTCGGTTCTTTGTGGAGCGTCGGTGGCTGTGCACCATTTGAGGCAGCCGCGGATTCCTACGTGGCGTGTCAGTTTCAATGGGATGCCGCTTCGGCCTCGCAAAGTACCGTCGCCTGTAATAATACACTGGGCGAAGCTGTACACAATTATTTGTAGCTGTTTACCGCTGTTCGCACTTACGGATCAACGAGCGTCTAGCTTAAGGCGATGTTTTTCCTTTATTGGTTCTTGCCTGCCTAGCTGGCGGTTAGTTGCTGGCTTTAGTGTCAGTTGAGCGAGAAAGACTCGTGGCCTTAAGAATATCCCCGCGATTGAATCAGTTTGAATGAAACACAATTAAATACATATTGCATTTGGCTCGAACCGAAGCAACACAAAGCTTCATTCGTCTGGATTTGTTGGCAGTATGCTGGCTTTTCATCTTGTGCAGTGAAGAGCTTTTTGTGGGAGTGCATCTTTGCTTGACTGTTCAGACGATCCCTGATCCAGCCCGGCGTGTGGAGAGGATTCTTGTGGACGGCTCGTTGGTGATAAAGCCTCTTGGTCCCGACTCTTCTCTGTTGTCCCTCCTTTGGCACGAAAACTGCGGGATGCGCATCCCTGTTTTCATGCTTGACTTTGCCACCAAGCAAGCCCCCGTTGCACACAAACACACACACACACACACACACACACACACACGACAGACAGACCCGCCGACCATCCGATCCCTCTCCGCTGAGCAGTGCAAAAGCCCACTCTTTAGGCTCTAGACTGAGAGAACGGTGCAGCAGTGATTTACGGCTCGGCATTTAAGGCTTGGGGCTTGGTGCAGAGCGTTGTTTGTGCGTGGGAGTGACGGCAGCTGCGCACGCTTGAGTTTGTTCCTGCGTTGTTTCCATGTCTTGAGAGCATGCCTATCTGCGGGCCGCGCATTGCCGCCTCGTTCTGCTGTTTCTGGCTAAAACTTTCGGATTAAGGGCCATAATAGCGGTTCGCTGCTCATGCGCTTTGCAATCTTGTGTGCGTTGGCGTGCTGTCGCGTTGTAGGCTCTTCGCAAGGTCGGCCTTTGACGCCTTTAGGAAAACGTGCATTTCAGCAAAGGGTGGAGAGCTGCAGCGGAGGCGTTCCTTAAATGAAAATCTCTACAGCTTCATTACAGATCGCCTGGAACAGCTTGGTATCGTGCCTACCTCACCGCCTCAATCTGACGTAAGCTGCTCTTCAGCAGGCCCTCTTTCTTGCCCATCTTTGGGGAGGTGTTCGTACAGCAGTAGACACCGCCACTTTTTCAATTACGGCGGGGGAACACCACATCGTAGAGGCCGCGGTGTTCATTAAGCAGGAGGGGAGCTCCCTGTACAACCGGCGTGTTTGGCCTTCCCTTGATCGGGTGGGCAATACTGGCACTGTGGAGTTTTTGGAAGTTCATTGAATAGGGAAGGGGTGGCTGTGGACGCAGGGAAAAGAAGCGGAGGGACGAGAAGAAGTTGACAAATTGCAATGAGATCACGACTGAACAGAGGCGACGCAAAATAATTTGGACATCAGTCAACAACGACGCGCTTTAGCAAGTGTCTTTGCATACCTGCACGCGCTCTAGGTAGACTGCACTACCAACATCACAGCAGCAGCAGTGGCCGAAGGAGCGGCAGCAGAGAAGTAGAACAGCTCCCCGAACTGAATCAACACTAGCAGCAGCGCAGAGATCGCTACATCTGTGCAGCAGCAGCAGCGATGACAACCAAGAAGCACCCCGTCTTTCAGGTGCTGGACTTGTCTCGCCAAACCTAGAATTCAACGCTTGTTGTGGAGTTTTGGGTTTACATTATGAACTCCAAAGGGTGCAGCCTTTTGTTTTGTGGGGGTTTACTTCACCCAACTGAGAGCTGTAACAGGCACACTGGTGTTGGCCCGCACACATCAGGTTTATACAGAAGACAAAAAGCGGCTGAATGCGCAGTTTAGTTAGAGGACCGTTCAGGCACATCTGTGTGAGAAATTCCTGACTCATCGCATGCAACTGGCTCACGAAGGGGCTATAAATGCCGATCAGGGTTTATTTGAAATTAACCAAGCAAAGAGAGGCCGAAAAGTTGTGTTATGATGGTTGGTAGTGAGGGCTTAATCTAAGGGGTTTGGGGATTAGGAACGAGAGTTCTCAACCCTAGTTGAGGACCGTCACGAGCGGCATTGGCGCCAGAACACCTTACGTAAGAATTCACAAAGACGGGGGATCTCTCCTCTCGGAGGAGTACTGGGCACAGCGAGTTAAGGTATCGGGAGGAGGTGGGAACGAGGCCGACTGCCATGAGTTCCCGCACGCATTGCTGTAGCTCTTGCTGCATGGCATTCCCGGATACAAGCTTTTCCAAGCCCCCCTCGATGCATTCATTAACACTGTACAGAATTGTTAAGCACTTTCTTGGCCCTGAATAGCCACTGCCCGCAAGTGCAAATACATGTACCAACTGTAGACGCATCATGCTACACGCCTGAGCAACACATCGATTCTGCCTTCAATAATCAGGGCTGTGAGCATAAGCTGAATCTGCATCAGGCTTCATCATCCTTCCTGCCTTCCAACTCTGGGTCTAGCTATTGGGTGTTGGTTTGGTTGCAGCACGGCCTCCAACTCAAAACAAAAGCACTAAACCGTTATTCACGTGCTCATCCTCTCATCAATAGTGGATTTCGCACTGTTCAGACTTGTGCAACTGATTCAGCGTCAGCTGCTGCTGCTCTTGCTGGTGGTGCTTGCAGGCGCGAAGCACCTGTAGTGGATGTAAGAGAAGACAGAACAAAGTAGGTAGCTTCTAACCAGTTTAATAAGTGGATTTCACATCCTGATATCAGCTTATATGGCTGTCCGAGCTCTATGGACTCACTGCGTGTGCTGTTGCTGTTGCTGCTGTTGCGAGCTTTGAGATGCATTGTGGTGTCGCGCCTCTGCCCCGAGTTAGGGGGAGGAAAAATTGAAATAAGACGTTCAAATAAATTTAAACTGCAAATGCAAATAGGATATGAATACGAAGATCTGTTTTCCGGGGGTTATAACTTCTGAATTATGGCGACGACTGCGAGGGATTTGCCATCGAGGACACCTCCCTGGCGATGCCTCTTGCCGACGGAATCTCTCAGGCAGAAACCGCCTTCTCTTGTCTTTTTAAACAAATAAATAAAAATGATAATAGTTTACAAACGAAGCCTTTCAACGTCGGCAGCGGGAAGCTCGGAGTGCGCTGTCCTACAGAGCGCAGCATCGCCCACCGACAGGCAACGTGCACCGGTGGATGTTTGCAGTTTCCGGCGTGAAATAAGTTGGAAGATTACGAAATATTCAAAATTACGAAGGATAAATTAGAATGTCTTGCATCAAAGCCTTCGAATATCCCCTCTTTACCTTGCAACCGGAGGCTGTGCCGTTGCCACGGCCCACGCTGGCGTGGCGGTGTTTTCTCGGCGGCGACGATTGTGCAGTAAAGCCGGCAGTCTTGCTGTTTTTACCCATCCTTCCGGAGATTTAAAAATGTTTAAATCTATTTCATTCATTCAAATCAACGAACAAATCTTCAAGCGGCCCACACAGCACCACCTGTCCACGTCGCCGCTGTGCGAGGCAGTGCCACAGAGCACATTTAGGGTGTAGTGTTTAGGGTTTGGGGTTTCAGCTGCATAAATATACTAGGAGTTTTGTAGGCATTCAAAAGCCTTCCAAAACCCTAAACCCTAAACCCCAAACGTCTCCCGAGTTGTCTTTGGACTCCGACCTGTCTGTTGCTAAGCCACTACCGCCTAGGTGTGTAGCAGAAAAGATCGGGGTTTAGGGTTTAGGGTTTAGCAGAAGCAGAGGCATACTTCTCCAACCTGTTGCGTACTTCAGGCTTCAGTCAACAAGCAGCTGTATCTACACCTGAACCTGCAGCTGAAATGCCTGCCTTTCAGCGCGCTTACAACGACGCCAAAGAGGCCCTCAATGACCCTCTAGGCTTCCAGCAGCAACTTCTGTTGCTGCAGCACCAGCAGCAGATGCAGCAACATGGGCAGCAGCAGCAGCTATGCCTGAATAACTTGCAGTTGCAGCAGCAACGCGAAGGGGAATACGCTTCTCCCAATTATGTGCTTCCTATAACTAAGGAGTTGCTGCAGCAGCAGCAGCAACAACAGCAGAAGCCTTATGCGGTTCCTAGAGAGACATCGCATGAACTGTCGTTGCAGTTTCAACAGCACCAACAACAGCAGCAACAGCAGCAGGCACGTGACGCTGCTGACAGCAGCACGGGGGCATCTACAAGCGAAGCAACAGCATCAGCGGTAGGAGCTGTGCCTGCACAAACAGTCGCTGCAGCAGAAGCATCTGTTGCAGCAGCAAACACAGAAGACTGTGCGGCGGTGGCACCACAGGAAGACACTCTGGGGCCAGCAGCATATTCAGCATACCTACGAGCGCCACCCTCGGCAGCCGCAGCAGCAGCTGCAGCGGCACCACTAACAGCAGCAGCAGGAGCCACAGCAGCAGCATGTGGAGGCTCCGCCGCCTCCCCCTCCGCAGCAGCAGCAACCGCAGCAAACAGGCGCGATTTCATGCAGCGGCAGCTGCGCCGGACCCAAGCTCTTTGCTTCAGTTTATGTGCTACAGAAGAAGAAGAAGAAACTCATACACCATTTTTCTATTGGAAAGAAACGAGGGTCGGCTCTCAGGCTGCTGCTGCTGCTGCCGCTCTCGAGGCTGTCCGCATTGCTGCTCATGCTGCAGCAGACGCGGCAACAGCAGCAACAGCAGCAGCAGCAGCACCCATGACAGCAAATACCACAAATGATGCTGCTGCAGATCCATCAGAGACTCCGGCAGCAGCCAAGGCTGGCGGAGTCTTCGACGGGCACTTACCCAGTGAAAAAAACCTAGAGCAACAACAACAGCTGCAGAAGCAGCAGCAACAGGATCTGCGGCAGCTGCAGCAGCAACAGGATCTGCGGCAGCTGCAGCAGCAGCAGCAGCAGCAGGATCTGACGCTGAATCAGATGCGCAGCTCCGAACGGCGCTGCTATACACCTCCAACCCGCTTTAGTGGCATCCCCAACTACGTTAATGCAGGACCAATAAATTGCAGCAGCAGCAGCAGCAGCAACGGCAGCAGCGGCAAACGCAGCCACAGCCGCACTGAGAGCAGCAACAGCAGCAGGCGCAGCGTCTCTCACAACTCCTTGACCGTCTCAGCTAAACAGGTTCGACGCACGCGTAGAAGAAGTCTATCACAAGCTCCCAACTCAAACCCTAAACCCTAAACCCTAAACCCTTAGTCACATGCCGCTCTTCTCAAGAATAGAGGATTTCGCACTCTTCAGGACTGTGCAACTGATTCAATGTCAGCTGCTGCAGCCGTTCCTGCTGCTGCTGCTTGCAGGCGCGAAGCAGCAAGTGTCTACCTGGAAGACTTTCAGCAGAGCAAGCGGCAGCAGCAAAAGCAGCAGCAGCAACAGCAGCAGATGCAGGAGCCACAGCAACAGCAACAGCAGCAGCTCCACCAGCGGGAGGCTCCGTTGCTCGAACGCCAACAGAATTGGCTAAAACACCACCAGGAAGCTCTGCAGCAGCAACAGCAGCAGCAGCAGCAGCAGTTGCAGTGGAGGCTGTTGTGCAGGGTGTGTTATATCTCTATCCTTTGAGCATCAAGAGGCTCACCGTTTCAGCTGTATGTACACCTCGTCTCGTGCAGTCTCTCCTCTCGCAAAAAGCAAAACTCGACGACATTTTTGATAATGGACAAGGTAAGCAAGGGTTTGTGGTTTAGGGTTTAGGGAGGATAGGGTTTAAGGAACAGATCATATGGTTTACACATTAGGGTTTAGTGCTTCTTACAGATTAGGGTTTGCTTACTTTGGGCGTAGGGTTTAGGGTCTGTATCTTAGAGTTTGGGGCTTAAGGGCAAGGGTTTAGCCCTTAGATATTACGAGTTAGGGTTTGGAGTTAGAGCTGAACGTGTAGGGATGAGGGTTTAGGGTTTAGGGTTTAGGGTTTACGTACAGGCCAGTTTTACAATAATGCAAGAGACACGCTCTTTCCGCAAGATGCCAACGGCAGCAGCCGCCACAGCAACAGAGCAGGAGATAAGTTTGAAGAGATCGTAATCTGTGTAGACAAGTGGTGCCGAAGCAACTGCAGCAGCAGCAGCGGCAGCAGCAGCAGCGGCAGCGGCAGCAGCAGCAGCAAGGTGTGCTGCGGGCTTCTCGGGGCGCTCCAGAAGGTGCCGCTGGCAATGGCTGCCTCCCCCAGCTGCCCGGATTCCTGTGTAGGCAGCAGCAAAGAGCAGCACGAAACACCTGCAACAGCAGCACCAGGGTATGCCGCACCCTCAGCAGCAGCAGCAGCAGCAGATGCCCCAACTGCAGCACCAGCTGCTGCGAAGCCCGTGCGCGTCTTCGTAGACCTGTGCGGAGGCCCAGGGTCCTGGAGTTTGTATATACTAGACAAAACTGCCAAAGCAGCTTCCGCTGCAACATCACCTGCAGCAGCAGCGGGAGCAGCAGCAGCAGCAGCTGCTGCTGCTGCAGCAGCAAGGGGCCCACATGCGGACAGCAAAGTGAAGAAGGGACTCACAACAGACGGTGATTTGTTTGCTGCCATTGCAGAAGAAGTGCTGCGTCGTTTGGCAGAGTCGCAGCAGCAGAAGCAGACGCAGCAGCAGGAGCAGCAGCAACAGCAGCAGCAGCAGCAGCAGGAACAGACGGAGGTATTTGGCTTTGGGCTTACGCTCAAGTCAACAGAATCAAGAAAAATCTCCAGCTGGTACGGGGCTCTATCAAACAACCCCCGCTTCACAGGCAAGTCTTGCTGCTGTTGCCCTTGCTGCTGCTGCTCTCGCTTCTGCTCTTTCTGCTGCACCACTCTGTTGTCATTGCTGTTTTTGCTGCGCTTGCTGCTGCACCATTCTGCTCCCTGTGCGTCCTTGCTGCAGTTGCTGCAGCTGCATTTATGTGTTCATGTATAGCAGCAGCTGGCACGACTTGTGGCGCGACGCTCTGCTAGGCGTCTTCCTGTCTCCTATTTAGGGTTTAGGGTTTAGGGTTTAGGGTGTCTGTTCGCAGCTCTTTGGGGAGCTGATGGCAGTGGAGATATCTGCGCCCCTGGCTGTGTCCAAAACGTAGCTCAAACGGTGTTTGATTTCTTACGGTCAAGAAAGCAACAGCAACAACAACAGCAGCAGCAGCAGCAACAACAGCAGCAGCAGCAGCAACAGCAGCAGCAGCAGCAACAGATGGGTTCGGAGACAAAGGAAATGGAACATAATTTGGGTTTGTCTGCACTCAGCAGGTGTATGCTGGAGTGATACGTTTGAGGTCCTAGGGTTAGGGTTTGCGCTCTAAGAACAAGGGTTTAGGGTTTAGGGTTTAGGGTTTAGGGTTTAGAATTTGCCTGCGGTTTATGTGCTGCAGCAGACCCTGTGCAGGGATTTGAAGAGGGCGTCACTTTAGTTGTGGCGGACGGTGCGATCATCCCCCGTAGGCCCTAAACCCTAAACCCTAAACCTTAAACCCTAAAACCTAAACCTTAAACCCTAGACCCTAAACCCCAGACTTCAGACTACAAGCCTTAGGCGCTTAGCCCTAAACGCTAGACCCTACGTCACAAAAGCTAAGCCCTAAACCCTGAATATAGCTTTTACGCATTGGACACACAATGTTTATTTCTATATCGTTTGCGGTGTACATACAGTAGAGGGTATGAAGGCTGCCCTTACAGCGTTTTCTCTTGTCTTTCGTTTGGCTTAGTTTGTCTGCACTGTTGTTCTGCTGCCTCTGCAAGCGTTTCGGGTGTATGTACAGCTTGATTTATGCATCAAGTATTGCACGTACACCTCACGGGCTTCAGGGTGTATGTCCAGCAGCAGCAGCAGAGCAGCGGAGTAGGGGTATGATGTAGTTGCATGTTGCTTTGCACATATATATTTTTTTCTTTTTTCAGCCAAAGGCGACCCCCTGCACCAATCCGAGAACTTGCAAGAACTCTATGCGGGGCAGTTGCTGCTCTGCGAGCTCTTTGCTGCTCTGCTGCTGCTACAGACCGATGGTCATTTCGTTATCAAGCTCTTTGACTGTTTCTCCGTGTTCACGGTACACCGCGAGGGTTTAGGGTTTAGGGTTTAGGGTTTAGGGGTCAGGGGGGGTAGGGGGTTTAAGAGGGTCTTTAGTGGGTTCATCGGGGTTTTGCATTGAGGTCTAAACGGATTAAGAACAGACAAAATAGGGCTTCGCCTTCAGGAGAGGTTTGAGTTGAGGCGGTGATACAGACACCATGGCATCTTCCGCGGCAAGATTCGCGGATCAGGGTTTAGGGTTTAGGGTTTAGGGTTTAGGGTTTGCACGCCTTTTGTCATGTCTTCCCAGGCAAGTCTGGTGTACGCGGTTCGCCGTTTGTTTCGAGGCTGTTTGATAGTAAAACCCTTCAGAAGTCGAGCAGTTAACAGCGAACGGTAAACCCTAAACCCTAAACCCTAAACCCTAAACCCCAGTACTTCAGCCCTAGACACTGCGCCTTAGAGTCTGGTTTTCGTGCCTTTAATCCTCGCCATGAGGGTTTACCTCTTGATTATTTAGGGTTTAGGGCTTAGGGTTTAGGGTTTAGGGTTGTAGGTTAATGCAAAAGAAAAGTGGTGGGTGCTATAAGATAAATGCTGCTGCAGGTATTTGGTGGGCATACACCTGAAAAGCCGAAAATCAAAATTCTTTTTGTCTCTTTTTCGATCTCTCTCCGCCATTTACCGCCTTTATGAACATAACGGAGTCCCTCAACTCCATTTGCCGCATTCTGTGGTCCCTGAAGAGCTCTTCCTCACGGGTCTGCACAAACCCTAAACCCTAAACCCTAAACCCTAGACCTTAAACCCTAAACCCTCACCTCCACACCCTACCTTTTGGGCTGCGCTGATTATCCTCAAGCTGTGCAGACGGGCAACCACAGCCAAAGCCTTTGCAGACGCAACGCACGCGTCAGTCCAGCAAACCCTAAACCCCCAACCCTAAACCCTAAACTCTAAACTCTAAATGCCGGGCGCTGCAACTTGTGAGCAGACGTACCCTTCATGAAGCGCCTGATTGAGGCCTCAACGTTCATCTGCGAGCGACAAACTCTGGCGCTGTCGATGGTATTTTCCAAGGTGCCTATACACCGCAAACCCTAAACCCTAAACCCTAAACCCTATCTTCTCATGTCGTGGGCAGATTGTGACGGGGACTTGGTTTTTAACGTTTTGCTTTTTTCTGCAGTTCGAGGAGATGCAGCAGCGGCGAAAGGGAAGGAACCGCCGGTCCAAGCAGCAGCAGCAGCAGCAGCAGCAGCAGCAGCAGCAGCAGCAGCAGCATTACTACCACTCCAGCAGCAGCAGCAGCAGCAACTCTCGTCTTCGCGTACCGCCATTAGAGAATACCCTGGAGCAGCTGAGGCCTTGTCGCCTCCCTCTAAGCAGCAGCAAAAGCTCCGCCAGCAGCAGCCACACACCAATAGCAGCAGTAAAAGCAAGTAGGTCCCTTCAGCATAGACAACAGCAGCAGATGCAGCAGGAACAGCTGCAGCAGAAGCAGCAGCAGCAGCTCATGGGCTTGCACGCCACCCAGGAACGGTGCAGGGCACCCCGTACCGCCAGCAGCAGCAGCAGCAGCAGCAGCATCAACAACAACAGCAGTAGCAGCAACAGCAACAGCAGCAGCACCTGCTGCTTACCTGGTGGGCAGCAGCAACAGCGGCAGCAGCAGCAGAAAGGGGACAGGGAGAAGGAATTGCTGCAGCAGCAGCTGAGGCAACTCGAGCAGCAGCTGCAGCAGCAACGAGAGGACCACAAAAAGCAGCAGGAGCTTCAGCTGCAACTGCAGTTGATGCAGATGCAGCAGCTGCAGCTTCTACAGATGCATAGACAGCTCGCGCCTGTCACCCCAGCAGCGCTGCAGCAGCAGTTGCTGCTGCAGCAGCAACTGCAGCAGCAGCAGCAAATGCTGCAGCTGCTCAAGCCACAGCAGCAACAGCCAACCCTTGCTGCCGTTCAGCAGCAGCAACACCACCAATTACAGCACCTCTTGCAGCAGCAGCAGCAGCAGCAACACCAAAGTACGATCTACACTCAGCAGCTGCACGGTATGGGATTGACGCAGCAGCATCAGTTGCTGCTGCAGCAACGACAGCAGCAGCAGCAAGCCACTAAAAGCATAGGAGAGTCAGCGTTTGCTGCTGGGATGTTGGGCATGGCTGCACCTGGAGACACAGCGGCAGCAGCAGCAGCAGCAGCATCGAGTGCAGCAAAATCAACAGCAGCAGCAACGAGTGCTGCAGCAGCGTCGACGCCGCTTGCAGCGGGAGAAGCAGCAGCAGCAGCGGCTTTAGCGGATGCCTCTACCATCACTACGGGGCTGATCCAAACGAAGCAGCAGCAAAAGCATCAACAGCAATACCCGCAGCAGCAGCAGCAACAACAACTGCAGCAGCAGCAGCTTCTGATGCAGCAGGGAGCCCATCACGGAGCATTTGCCTCAGCGGAATTCAGAAAGCCAGAGGCAACAGCAACAGGGCTAGAGCAGCAGCAGCAGCAGCAGCAGCAACTGTTACTGCTGCAGCAGGAGAGAGACAAGCTTGCGCAGCAGCAGCAACAACTCGAAGCGCTGCAGCAGCAGCTGCTGAAAGCGGCCTCTCTAAACCAGCTGCAGCACTAGAAGAAGCAGCAGCAGCAACAACAACACAACTAAACCCTGCCACCCATAAGTGGGCAGAAACTAAATTGTTTAAGAGTTTAGGGTTTAGGGTTTAGGGTTTAGGGTTTAGGAGGGCCGCAGCTCCGTTTCCATACGAACTGCACAGGCCTCAGCTTATTATAGAAATACGTACATGAATACAAATCGTATATAAATAATAAACATATAAAAATAATAATTATACTTAATTGATTAGTATATATAATATAATAAATATAATTTAATAATAGATATATCTAAATAATGGCTGGAGTCCCTCCCGCGAAGACAAACACACAACTTGCTGCTGCTGCTTCTGCTGCTGTTGCTGCTGCTGCGCTGCTGGCGCTCATCTTGCGCTTCTGCTGCTGCTGTTGTTGTTGCTGCTGCTGTTGCTGCTGCTGCTGCTGCTGTTGTTGCTGCTGCTGCTGCTGTTGCTGCTGCTGCTATTGTTGATGCTGTGCTTGTTGCTGCTGCAGCAGTTTTTCTTGCTTTTTTTGCGTGAACACTGCTATTGCAATAGCGGCGCTGTCATAGACACAAAACCCTAAACCCTAAACCCTAAACTGGAAATCTTCACCATACCGTAGCATCGGAAGCAAACGCTGAATCTGATGACTCAGCCGACTAGGCCCACACATTGCTCTCGATTTACATTGCAGGGTTTAGGGTTTAGGGTTTAGGGTTTAGGCTTTAGGGTTTACGCAATCAGATTAAGAGTTAGGCGAAACGTGCATTCTGAAGACAGCATAGCCAAGAATGGCTCGACTTTAGGGTTTAGGGTTTAGGGTTTAGGGTTTAGACGCATGATATGCTTTCAAACAAAGTTAGCGCAGGGCTGATTTATTAGGAGAATACAAGGGTTTAGAATTTCTAGACCATATTAGGGTTTAGGGTTTAGGGTTTAGGGTTTCTACGCTCGTACAGCCCGGCGGCATGCCAATGGTTCAGGGCCCGGGGGCTTAGGGTTTAGGGTTTAGGGTTTGAGGATGTTTGCATGGGGCTATTTATGTTTATTTTGTGTTTTATTTTGTTATTTCTCCAGTTATTACAACGGCATTTAGCAGAGAAGGAGCGTACCTGCGGTGTATCTGCAGCTCTCCGTACCGTCGATTTCCCGCTGCGTGGCGACCGTCAAAACCCTAAACCCTAAACCCTAAACCCTAAACCCTAAACCCTAAACCCTGAATTTTAAACAGAAGAATTTGAATTTTTCAGCTCATTAAGAGCCTTCTGTTGTTTACAAGCGATGCACCAGGGTGGCTCCGCCGTCATAGATGCGCAGTCCTGTTGGCTGGCAGAAACCCTAAACCCTAAACCCTAAACCCTAAACCCTAACTGGGTTTGAGAAGGCGCTTTCTGTCAATAGTTGTTTCGGTAGCACCGCTTCTGCTTGGTGCGTTGTGGCTTCTCCTCCGTGTGCGCCTTTTGGGCTCGAAACCCTAAACCCTAAACCCTAAACCCTAAACCCTAAACCCTTGAAGATGGAGAAGGCTGGCCTCGTTCGCAAGGCAACTGTGGAAATTCAGCGGCGTCCTGCTCGCCAAGGGACCGTCACTTTGAAGCCGAATTCTTCTATGCAAAAAACTCGCAGTTTTGCAGACCCCCGATCGATACCCCAGTTGCTAAAGCAAGTGTATGCGGTAAGACCGAGGGTTTAGGGTTTAGGGTTTAGGGTTTAGGGTTAGGGGAGCGCATAGAGGTGGTCGATCGAGCCATGCGTAGGGTTTATCTCTAGGGTTCTTTTAAGGGATTCTTCGGAGGGTACATCATTAGGGTTTAGGGTTTAGGGTTTATCGTGAGGGCTTTGTAACAACTAGGATTTAATGCAGTTAGGGTTTAGGCGAATGAGGGTTTAGGAGACATAGGGTTTGGGCTCATTAGAGTTTCTTAAAACTCTGTTTTAGTTAATTAGGGTTTCGTGTTTCCCGCCATTTGCATGCTTGTTTGTGGTTTAGGGTTTAGGGTTTGGGGTTTAGGGTTTATGGTTTGCATTTTCATGTGTATCAATCCTTGTTTAATATTCCTAAGTAAGGCGTAGTGTTTCTTGAGGGTTTAGTGTTTAGTGTTTAGGGTTTAGGGTTTAGAGTTTAGGGTTTAGGATCTAGGGTTTAGGATCTAGGGTTTAGGGTTCAGGGTTTAGGGTTTAGGGTATAGGTAATGGGGTTTAGGGTTTAGGGTTTAGGGTTTAGGGGTGTATATGGATGCAGCCTGAGGAGTATGACGAGAGTTCTTCAGTATTAATTTGCAATTTTCCTTGCGGCTTTCCTGCTGCTAACTGTCGCAACTTCTGCGGATGGTTTGGACCAGTGGTCAGGGTAGAAAGGACCAGCAGCGTTGCTGCAGAAACAAACTTCGTTGTTGTCTTTGCTGATCCGCATCCTGCACAAGTAAGCTCCTCCTGCTGCTCCTGCTGCTCCTGCTGTCTTGCTCTTGCTCTTGCTGCTGTTGTTGCTGTTGCTGCTGTTGTTGCTGTTGCTGTTGCTGTTGCTCCTGATGCAGTTGCTGTTCCTAATGTTGCTGCTGCTGTTGCTGTTGCAGCTGCTGCTGCTGCTGTTGCTGCTGCTGCTGTTGCTGCTGCTCATGCTGAGGCTGCTGTTGCTGCGAATTAATTGTTTTATTTGCATCTCTGAATTCCTTTATTTCTTTTATATAGTCTGTTCGTTTGATCGGTTGCTTAAGGGTTTCGATTTAGGGTTTAGAGTTTAGGGTTTAGGGTTTACTGTCATTTTTAAAAGCTTTCTTTTCTTTATATGTTTATTTGTATTCAATTAAATGCTCTGCTTTTTTTGCTGCTGTTTTTTTGCTTTTATTAAATAAATGCCTCTGTAAATATATCTTAAATTTGTTGTATTATTACTGTATAAATCTATATATATATATATATATATATGTATAAGTACTTCTATTTGTTATATTATTATTATTATTATTATATTATTATTATTATTATTATTATTATTATTATTATTATTATTATTATTTCTCTGTAATTATATATATTTTTTTGCATTTAATCAACGAGTCCGTTGTCTACATTTTATTGTACTGAATAAACAAATAATTAATTATTATTATTTTAATATATTTATATATATATTAATTTATATATATTTAATTTTATTTTGTGTATATGTCTTTTGAAGCAATTAAACCCGCTTGATAATATAACTAAGAAATACAACTAAATCAATAATAAAAATAAATAATAATAAATAATAATAAATAATAATAAGTAATAATAGATAATAATATAAAGTAATAATATATAATTAATTATTATTATAAATTCTGCTGCTGCTGCTGCTGCTGCTGCTGCTGCTGCTGCTGCTGCTGCTGCTGCTGCTGCTGCT